TAATTCCATATTTCCACATGAGAGGGCTCCAAATCCCCCCCCTCCCCAAATGTATCCGTACATCTGCTTTGAGTTTTTCTGTGTGTTCTCTGAGCATTTCTGTCCTTCACAGTCCTATGAAGACTTAGTGCATCGTCTTGAACCAGTCATCATGGAACTGGAGCGACAAGAGAATGTGCTGGTCATCTGCCATCAGGCAGTCATGCGTTGTCTGCTGGCCTACTTTCTGGACAAAAGTGCAGGTTGGACACAGAGACAGGCTGTTTGTGTTATCTTTATATAATTTATCAGTATCTAACTGAGTAAAAGAACTGCTAATGTTAAAGGCAAATGTGAGAAGTTCTGTGTTTTCTCTACAGATGAGCTTCCGTACCTTAAATGTCCTCTCCATACTGTACTCAAACTGACACCAGTGGCCTACGGTCAGTAATGGTGGATGTTGTCCACTTACATTGCCTTTTCATGTCAGTTTCATTGTTTTAATAGTTTTTGTGTTTGAATCATTCTACTGAATTGGTTCAAAGTCAGAGTTCAAAACACTTTAGACTGAAGTCCCTTTGCTTTGAGTGCCCTTAATTATGTGTATTATTATTATCTTAATTATGAGTTAATTATGTTTATTTATTAAAACGTTATTATTGTATTGTCATTACCAACACAATAACACTACCAAAACGTTTCCAAATGTTTCGCTAGTGACAATTTTAGCTAATTTTAAGCATTAATGCTAGCCAGTATATGTAACCATGAATAGCAAACACAGCTTTCAACAGCCGTACACACATAAAATCTTAATAATTCTATTTAAAACACAAAAAAGTTTCCCTAATTGTTGAAAATATTTGTTTCTGTAATGACAGTTGTTGCACACTGATTTTCAGATGTCAGGACACATTCACTTTAAAACAATTAGGTTTGAACTGCTCACCATGTGGCCATGAGGCACAGGGATGCAGTCTCACATCCTTATTTTCAGAAGTTGAAATTTAGGGATTTGGTTTGGGACATATTTAGCTTATTCCTATCTCAATTGATGCATTGGGTTTAAATAGATCATAACATAGCCCTTGTACATATCTAAGGTCTGAGTACATAATTGTTATTTTAAATTTAAATTTGTTTTTTTTTTAACTGTGCAACCATAGTAATTCACTAGAATGGTCCCTATAGATTTGTGGGTGCAGCTGTAACTGTGCTGTGTCTTTTGTGTGTAGTGTTTTCATCTATTCAGTGTGTCAGTCATATTTATAAAGCACTTTGAGATTTTGTAACTAAAATGAAAAACTATTTATAAATAAAAGTGATATATAAATAAGATGTATTATTAATATTATTGTTAATTATAAGGTATCAGAGTAAATGTGTTTTATACCTATCTACCTTTTATATTGTTCTTTTTTTTCATTTGCAGGATGCAAAATAGAGTCTTTTTACTTAAACATCAAAGCCGTCAACACACACAGAGAAAAGCCTGCGGTAAGACCAAAGAACATTCAACTCAATAACAGATCATCAGTTTCAGCAGTTGATCTCAATGTTTTATTTATTTTCTAGAATGTGGACGTGACGAGAAGGCCAGAAGAAGCACTCTGGACTGTGCCAGAGCATTTCTAACATTAGCAGGAGAAATATGATGATATTTACATATTTTGGTACTTAAAAAACGAAATGTTTTACATGAATTATGGTGAATCAAAGTATTATCAGATATCAAGTTGCCTGATTCAGGTTACCAAAGTTTACAGAAAGACGTTGTTCAGAATTTCTGAAAACCTCAACATTAATTATGCGCAATGCACATTTTTATGCTTGGAGAAGATGGTGGGTGGGGGGGCTTGACCAATAATAAGTTGGAAACCTAAGAGCCTTCCTGTGTGAATGAGTTTATGTGAGGGCTTCGATTTCACTCTCTGTTCATTGGACTGTTGCAGAAATGTTGTTAAAGAGGAAATGCAGAATCAGCTCACATGAATCCAGGACAGTGTTTCTAACCTTCATAATGTATTGGGTCAGCACTCAGCACCTTGGACAGTTACCAAACAAATACATGTTTGCGATAAACACATATAAACAACATTAACAATAAAGTTGGAACATACACTGTAAACAAATATCTTTTGACAGTCAATTTGCTGCAAATTTTACATGATTTTCTACTATAGTAGCAAATACAGAAAATCTGTTCATCCTGTAAAATTACTGTCAATAAACTGTAAAAGTGAAAACCGCAAACTGGACATTTTCTTTCATATATTGTTGTCATGTGATGTCACAATCTGTGCTGTGTCTTTTGTGTGTAGTGTTTTCATCTTTTCAGTGTGTCAGTCATATTTATAAAGCACTTTGAGATTTTATAACTAAAATGAAAAGCTATTTATAAATAAAAGTGATAGATAAATAAGATGTATGATTAATATTATTGTTAATTATAATGTATCGGAGTAAATGCGTTTTATACCTATCTAACTTTTATATTGTTCTTTTTTTTCATTTGCAGGATGCAAAATAGAGTCTTTTTACTTAAACATCAAAGCATCCTCTGCAGAGAACACACTTCTGCCCATTTTAACACACAATTATTGTTTTTAATTTTAATCATTTTAATAATTGTTATTCATTTAACATATTGGGGAAAAAGTCAGATATAAAATGTGGCCTGTCTCCCGCGACCCAGGAGGTGGTTTAGATGATGAATGAATCTAGTTATGGAACATTTTATATTTTATGTTTTATTTTGTGTTAACTTATTTTCACTTCAACAAATCAACAAAACATGTACTTTGACCAGAGGTGTTCAAAAGTTTGCTTACAACTTGGCTGGAGAAATTTGGAGCTAAAGTTTGTTCTTCAAACTAGCTCACAAGACATCCTCTTTTAAAAAAAAATTACTTTTTACTGTATTTATGTTTATTTGAATTTATTCTGATGATATGTATGTTTCACAAGCGCAAACACACACAGATAAATGTTTTTAAACAATGTGCCTTAGCCTTTTGCAGAGAACTGTATATATGTAAATGCACCAGTCAACGATATCAAGAGCTTGGCATACAACTGGCCTGTATGTAGATGAAGATTTTGTCATCAAATAAGAGGCAAATCAAGCTTTTTGGTCAAAATTCAAAATGCTATGTGTGGTACAAACCTAACATTGTCCATTCCTCAACAAACACCACCCAAAACAGTGATGTATGGGGGTGGCAGCATCATGCTGTGGGGATGCATTTCCTCAGCAGGGACTGGGCGTCTTGTAAAACTGAAGGACGGATGGTGCACAATACGGGGTGATACTGCAAGATAACCTTCTTCAGTCTGCTAAAGAACTAAAACTTGGGAGAAACTTCACCTTTCAGCAGGACAGTGATCTCAAGCACAAGGCCAAAGCAACACAGGAGTGGATAAACAACAAAAAGATCAATGTTCTACAGTGGCCAAGTTAAAGTCCCAATCTCAGTCTAACTGAGAATCAGTGGCACTATTTGAAAACTGTGCTCCACAAGCATCATCCAACCAACCTAAGCAACCTAGAGCAAATCAGCCATTTAAGCTGTTATTGCAGCAAAAGTTGGTTCTACCAAGTGCTAGTCTGAAGGGGATTAACAGTTATGCAATCAGCCTATTTCAGTTTTACTTTTTTTGAAGATCCGCTGACAAACAATACATTAATTTAAAAAAACTAAAAACTGACACTGACATTATGATTTGCAATAATAATAATAAGTACTGTCTGTAACAATCTGTATAAGTGTTATTTGTAATTCTGACACATTTGTTAACTTTTAAGAGGGATTGATCCTTTCGCAAGGCACTCTCTATACACCCTGTTCTTCAATGGTCAAGACCCACACAGGACCACCACAGAGCAGGTATTATTTGGGTGGTGGATCATTCTCAGCACTGCAGTAACACTGACGTAGTGGTGGTGTGTTAGTGTGCATTGTGCTGGTACGAGTGGATCAGACGGTGTTGCTGGAGTATTTAAACACTGTGTCCACTCACTGTCCACTCTATTACACACACCTGCGTTGTTGGTCCACCCTGTAAATGTAAATCCAGAGACGATAGCTCATCTCTTGCTGTACAATATGAGCTAATCATCCTCTAGTCCTTCATTGGTGGCCACAGGATGCTGCCCACAGGACGCTGTTGGCTGGATATTTTTGGTTGGTGGACTATTCTCAGTCCAGCTGTGACACTGACGTGTTTAAAAACTCCAGCAGCACTGCTGTGTCTGATCCCCTCGTACCAGCACCACACACACTAACATGCCACCACCATGTCAGTGTTACTGTAGTGCTGAGAATGATCCACCACCCAAATAGCACCTGCTCTGGGAGGGTCCATGGGGGTCCTGACCACTGAAGAACAGGGTAAAAGGGGGCTAAAAAAGTATGCAGAGAAACAGATGGACGACAGTCTGTAAGTGTAGAACTACAAAGTGCACCTATATAGTAAGTGGAGTTGATAAAATGGACAATGAGCGTAGAAACAAGGAGGTGGTCTGATCGGTATATATACATTACTGTCCAAAAGTCTAAGGCAAAAAACAAAGCATTCTTCTTATGTCTTGCATATTTAAGATTATTTGCATTTATTCTAAAGTCATTTTATGTTTTTTACTGGCAGAGACACACTTCAAAAATAAAGTTTTAAACTATTTTCGTGACGGCTTTATTATATATTTACATACATACATCACACAAATGCCTTAGACTTTTGGACAGTAATGTATGACTACAGCTCATGGAAAAACAAACATCATACCTGTGTTTAACTAGATGGGGTGGGTAAGTGAACACATGAAGGGCAGGACTTCATGGGTTAACAATTTGTGGATTCTTTTGCCGTTGAACTGATGGCAAGACTCTGCGAAATTTCCAGCAGCCCACACGGAGGCCAACAACCCCCCTAACATTCATCCAGAGGCGTTGAGGGGAGCCTGGTTATACACAAGCTTTAACATCTCCATCTCTTGCTTTTGCCTGCTTGGTCTCAGAAACAACCTTGATGCCTTAAGTGGAAGGGAGGGGTTTGAGTTACTCTCGCAAAAGCAACTCTCTGTCCTAGAATGCACCACATGTGGCTAGAATGAGGTTGGAAGCAGTAGAGTGAACAGATGACTGGACTACCAGAGCCTTGAATGAACTGAACGCAGGGACAGAGAGCATCAGTAAAATGGGCATTAATCTTGTTGGGATTACGCTAAACCTGCTGGTGATTGTAAGCAGTGGATGGGCAGCAGGATATGAAAAGCAGGGTGTTTCTCTCAAGGTGAGTATACACTCTTACAAATAGAGATGCCTAGAACTACTTTTGCCTTCCTAAAGAACTTTTCAATGGATAGTACTTTAAAGAACCATCTTTTTGTAAATGAAATAATGTGACATAATGTAAAGGTTCCGAACTGTACAAACCAAGAACCACCTTTTTTAATGTAACTTTCAACAAATAATGTACATATATGGTACATTCCAGTTAAAAATGACCATTTAGTACAAGTTACTCAATTTCCAGGAGGTTTTCATGAGGATATTAGACATAAGATAATCCATCTGCACAGGAAAGGGGAAAGTCAACGGAAAAAACATGAAAAAACAGGAGTTTCCAAAACTGGAGTTCAACAAACGATTAAAAGATACAGAAAAATGGGGCTCCTAACAACTACCTGCAAAACCTGGTAGACCACGAAAACTGTCACCATCAGATAAACAGCACATAAAGCCTTCATCTTTGAGAAAGAGGAGGAAATCAAGCTGCTTCAGATTTGAAAAATGCACAGGAGTTTCTGTCCATCCTGCCACTGTAAGAAGACAACCCAACACTATGAGTCTGAAAGGACGTGTAGCTGTCAAGAAGCTGTTGCTGAGAAAAGGAAACAGGCAAAAAAAGAAAAAAAACCTCAAAACAAAGAAATGCTGATGTTCTCAAAACAATGGACTGACCACCCTGACCAGACCTCAACATCACTCACTGAATATGTGGGATTATTTGGATGGTGAGAAGCAGAAAATGCAACCAACTTCTAAGACTGAACTAGAGGTGTGGAAAATATTTGAAAATATTTGAAAAACTGAAAGCAAGTTTCCCGAAAAGAACAGAAGAAGGCCAAAGTTGAATTATTAACTAAATACTTTCTGTTAAATATGATGACATGATGAAAAATAATAACTTGTACTTAATGGCAGTTTTAAATGGAAATGAAATAAATGAAGAGTGCTCATTGACTTCAGCACAGTACCAGATGTTCTTTACCATTAGATATGTCTTCAGTTTCTGTTGACTTTATGTAAGGAAAGATGAGAAGGCTGCAAGTCACAACATTACTTACAACTAAGAACTCTTTGGGCTAAAGAAAATGTACGGTGTCACTGCATTTAAAAGGTACTACATTAGGGTGCGAGTTGATAGAAACCATATTAGGTTTGATAAGATCTATCCAAAAACATTGAGTTTAATGATTATATTTATACTAAGGATTTGAGAAATATGTGTTTAACATAGTTATTGAGGAATCTGGGTATTAGTATTTAGAATTACTTTAACTAAGCATGTAAACAGCAGCAATACTGAAGGAATTATCCTAAACACATTTGGCTCTGCTTGGTGTAAAAGCACACAGGCTAATACTGAATTTATAATGCATTTCTAAGTTGTGCCAAGTGTGCAGAAGTGATTTTCTAAAGAATGCTCGACCAGTGCCAGCACAGGCACAGCACACACTCGCTGAGTTCCCCCCACTCGGACGTCTGTTTACGTTGTATTTACAGCATCCCTCCAGGATGTGTGGTAATATATTGACACAGCTATGATTTGTGTGCAAAATGAACGTCTGAAACCCCTCACTGGCCCTCAGTGTACAGTACTGACATTTAGCTCCATTCGCAGGCATTCTGTGAATGGCTTTGATTCAGGCTTTCTTGCTACGACACCAAGCCCTGACCAAGACTCGCGCACTGGCGTCTAAGAGCAAAGTGGCTGGTTTGTTGGTCTCTTGGCCCACATTTTCTTCTGATGATGCTATATTTGTACAAGGATGAGGTTATCAGATGGTGGTGATGCAAATTATTACTTAAAGGAAATAAAGTGAGTTCTGTCCTAGAGTGCCAATGCAGATGCACTTGGTTTTAACGCAGCATAAATTGCTTCCTACAGACGCTTGAATTAGTATTCACTTTTCCAACACGTGGTCACTTGTTTCAGAGCCAGGTAATTCAAACTTGTGTCAAATGCCAGACGAAACAAAAAAAAGCCCCGACTCCGTCATTTTCTATGTGGTATAAACACTCAAAGTGTGGGTTGACTGCCTGATAAAAAATGTGCTTTTGGAAGAATAAACTAATATTACCTTACATTTGTGACAAGCATACTGTATTCTAAGTGAGAATCATTCTAATTGTGTGATGTTGTTTTGTCTCCAGAGGTTGAGGCGTCAAAGCAACGCAGCTAAACCAGCCGTAAGTATTACATAATTTTATCATTAAGGAAACTCTTGAAATAATCTGACCATGTTGTCCTTTGTGTTTTGCACTCTGACTTGGAATAGAACAATAGTGTGGTCAATAGTGAAAACATTCACTCCATGTGGTCCTTGTAATTTTAACAATATGTGCAGTGGTTGATTCTGCCAGGCATTTTGGGCCTCAAGCACTCAAGAACCACGGGAGTTCACTTGAGTTAAATGACCACTGAGAATGTGGAGTGTTTGCCTCTGGAACAGAAAGTGTTATATAGCAAAGTGTTTATGCTTTCTTTGGGCAATAACAGTCATATGCTTTTAGAATACACACACACACACACACACACACCCACACACACACACACACACACACACACACACACACTCACACCTAGAGGCAATTTAGCATCTCCAATCGGCCTGACTGCATGTCTTTGGACTGTGGGAGGAAACCGACGCAGACACGGGGAGAACATGCACACTCCAGAAAGAAAGGATGCTGGTTGCCCGGCTGGGGAATCGAACCCAGGTCCTTCTTGGACCATTTTAGTGCTAGTAAAATGATCATATAAAGAACAAAATTATATGTAAAGACTGGGGCTGTCATAATTCTAATTATGAGTAACGTAATTAATTGCGATTAATCGCACTCTTTTGTGTAGTTAATCTCAATTAATTATGTTCTTTTGTGTAGTTAATCGTGGTTAATCACATTTGTCTTATTTACTCAAATTTAACCCAAAAGAAGGATTTTTTTCCATTTAAGCTTCAGCACCCCAGGTCAAATGGCAAGTTTTGTTGATTTTCTAAGTGAAAATAAGTTACACATCCTCTACAGAGAACTGCACAATTTAACGCACAATTACTGTTTATTTACTAAATTTAACATATTGGAAAAAATGTGGCCTGTACAAAAGTTATGGCACATTTTATTTTTCCCCCAATATGTTAAATGAATTTACTAAAATGCCATTAATTTTGTGCCCTGTAGAGGACATGTTAAAGTTACTTTCAAAAATCAAGAACACATGCAATTTATCCAGGGGTGTCCAAACTTTTGCATATGACTGTACACGTGTGGTCAAAATAAGCTTCATCAGAATGTATTTATACTTTCAATAATTCAGTAACATTGTTTGAATGCACAAACTGAACGCAAAACTCAAGTGAAGGAGGGTGATCATAATCAAAGTTTCCAATTTTCATTACTGACGTACAGTGAGAGCAACAGCTCCTGCATGTCTAACACTAAAGAAATTGTAGCCTCTCACTCTCACACAGCAATGTGGCATCTTGTTTTGAGGAAAACTGTAGTATTGCTTTTGTCATCCTCTTGCATGAGCACTGTCCCACACAGTCTGATATCAGTATTGATGACACTGGCACATTAGCATTGTGTTTTGCTTGTAATTGATACTCCAGACTCAATGGACTTCAGTGATAAATTCACAGCTTGAGAGTAAATGGAGATAAGTTTGGTTTTATTAAGATCGACATTAGTGGAATTTGCCAAAGCTATGTTTTTAAACGAGGAGATTACAGAGGTGGAATCATGGGAACAGTGTGAAATATATATATATGGTACGTGATCAGCTGGGCCTCAGGATGGAATTACGGACTGTCTAAACGGTCAAACTAGGAAGATCATCACACTTCTGTCACAACAGTCAACATGGTCTGAAAACTGCAAATTTGTTATATTTTATACTACTAACTCAACCTACGAACGACCCACCTCTTGGGAAACTGATTTAGTTCTGTTGTTTCAGTGACTTGCAGGATTTACCTGATAAGTGTTTAATATGACACTGCAACTCACTGAGTAAATGTCATATCTTTCCCATTATGCATACCAAGTGTATGTTTCCCCATGTTTTACTCACCCTCTGTGTGATGTCTTTCCACCTAGCCTACCCTCTGTGGTGTGCATCTTCCTTCTATGCTTTGCTTAACTGCCTCATTATTTGCAATAAGCCTCATTATTACTGGCTGTAAGATAAAGTTACAATTTGCCTGCTACTGTGGACTGAACACCATATTAACTTGAAGTCATGAAGCCATATCAAATTGAAGTCTTTTTAAAATGTATTACTTAGTAGCTGAACATAACTATATAAAAGTAAGCTATGCATAATATATAAATACAGTACTGTGCAAAAGTCAGAAACCAACCATCATTTATTTAATTCCACTTGAAACGGCCATTAAATACAAGCTATGACACAGGCTTCCAACCCTGGTCCTGGAGTAACCCCTGCTCTGGCACATTCCATTCTTAGGAAGGGTTTTGTTAATTAATTTAACTACTGGATACTGGAAGGTGTGTTAAGAGCAGGAGAAACACTAAGATGTGTAGGGCAGGGATTGTTATGGCATCGCTCAAAAGACACATTTTTGTCTTTTATTCCTTTTTCAGGAGATATTTTAGAGGATATTAGATATAAGATAATCCACTTGCATAATAAAGTAGAAAGTCAAAGGAAAATATGTGAAAAAACAAAAGTTTCCAAAACTGGTGGTTAAAGAAATTATTAAAAGACTTCTATCAACCACACCACCAAAACTGTCACCATCAGACACTCACAACCACAGTACTTAAAGCTTTATTCTTTGAGAGAAAGGAGAAAAGCTCCACTCCTGCTTCAGATCTGAAAAAATTCACAGTTGTTTCTGTCCATCCTTCCACTGTGAGAAGACAGCTAAACACTATGGGTCTGAAAGGATGTGTATCTGTTAGGAAGTCGCTACTGGAACAAGAAATAGACAAAAAAATGACCAATTATGCAAAGAAGCTGCTCATGCTCTCAGAACAAGAACTGACCACTCCAGAGTCCAGAGCTCAACATCACTGAATGTGTTTGGGATTATTTGGATTGTGAGAAGCAGAAAATGCAACCGACTTCTAAGACTGAACTTTGAAGGTATGGAAAAATACGCCTGCAGCTTTTTTTTGAAAAACTGAAAGCAAGGCTCCTGAAAAGAACAGACAGAAGTTGTACAAATTAAATACTGAAAAATGTGATATTATATTCAGTTGTTGTGTCATTTTCTGTATGTGTTATGTATGTTTGCTGAAAAATGCTGAAAAATGAATAACATACACATAAATGAACATCTGCAAATCAAACAAAGAAGTTGCTGGTGTTCTCAGAACAACAGACTGACCACCCCAGAATCCAGACCTCAGCATCACTGAATGTGTTTGGGATTATTTGGATTGTAAGAAGTAGAAAATGCAACCAACTTCTAAGACTGAACTTTGGAGTTGCTTATTAGAATCATGGAAGAATATCCCTGCAGTTTGTATTTAAGAACTGAAAGCAAGAACGGAAACAGTACAGACACAGTAAATACCGAAAAGTTTGGTATTATATCGAGCTTTTGTGTTCTTGCTATTAAAACAAAGTTTCTGCTTTTTCCTGATGCACAAAAATGAACATGCACATAAGGGCCACTTTGAATGGAAATTAAATAGATGGTCTCTGACTGTGCGTGGTACTGTACATAATACACACTTTCACTGGGTTTCACTTAGTTTATTTGTTTTTTCACAACACTAGGTGTTTGTGCATCTCTAAAAATGTTCAACAAAAACTCAGTTGTGTGGAACCACTGCCCATGATTCAGGTTCAGTTGCCATAGCATATAGCTAAGATAATGGTGAACTGTTGACAGCTCCAAGCTTTAAGTTTGTTTGTTAATTTAACTGGTTAGTAATGTGGCTAATTTTTTTATATTGACTCACTGATAAATCCAGGATCAACAGATGGAGTCTAAATTAGGAAACCAATGATGTAAAAACTGATTCTGGACCAGAGACTTTGCTAAAGTGGTAAACATAAAGAAGCACAAGAGACTTCTTTTAAGCTTCTTGGAACATTACAAAATCTAAGTAACTATATAGTTCAAGAAATCGAACTGACTGAATAAGAAATTAAATAGTTTGAATAAACTGATACCAGGTATAATTATGCTGTTGCACGTCACATATGAAAGAGAACTTTTCTTTTCATTCTCTCGCAGTTAGCCTGGCATCGTAGCCAGACCAATGTGGTCTGAGTGAGGGCCAAGCAAACAGAGGGTGAGCTATTCACTCTCTTGTGGGCTGCCGTCAGATCTCTGGACTGGCCAAGCGGACAGCAGGGGATTAATAAACTGCAAAGTGCACAGATAAAAATAAAAAATAACCTTTAAGAAACGCCTTGTTGTACAAAGGTGTATGGTGTCTAAATATCATCCAGAATTTATAAGTACCCTCTCAAAATTAAAGGTTAACTGGTATAAAACCTTTACATTATGTACAAGTAGTAGTGGGCAATATAGGCAAAAATGTATAATTATATTATTACTAAATAATTTATAATTATAATTAATTGTAATATAACTTAATTTAATATCACAATATAATTAAGAATAATGACAGTTTTGGTATATCTCATGAAGAGAATTTATGTATATTTTTTCAAATAATACCAATTTAGATGCTTAAGTAAACCTTCTTTAGGATTATCACCGGCATATTCCGTATGACCCTTCACTTTTAATAAGAACCATATTTAACAACTGAAGTACATCTGAAATATTTTTTTTGGGCAAAATAACAAAGCAGAAATAAACAACATATAGACGGATGTCAGTATTGCTTTCTAACTTTCTAGCCTCTTATTCATCAGCTACTTGTTCAAATGTTCTTGCTCCACCTTAAATGGTGCAGCAGTTACATTCGAAAGGCATTCAAGGCAAACAGGAAGCCAACTTCAGCCTCGTAAAAACAGTGCTGAATGTTGTTTTAAGGCCAACAGTCATTTGTCTTATATGTGCATCTCTTACACTCAAGCTTTAATCTATGACTGTCAGACGCTGCTGGAATTAAGTAGATATTACAAGCCATTCAGATTAGCAATTTTAGCCGAGAAGCTGTATAGCCTCGTGGCTTGCAGGCTGAGACCGCAGTGTTGCCTGAAGCAGCTGGCTGAGTGCGGAGCGCTGCACATGGATAGCTGGCTAACCTCCATGCTAGGCTAATGGCTAAGTGGTAACCCCAAGAGACTGGCTTTTTCTTCCACTCTCTTTTCCCCCTGTTGACTCATTAACTCATTACGATCTGATGTCTACTCCTTTGACAATAAACTAAACTAACTTGCCTCAGGGTGTAACTCACTATAGGAGAGGTGAGGGAATCAGCATGTCTTGCACTGTCTGTATGTCGCATTATCTGCATCTATTTGCATACTGGTATAACGGTAATGACAAAACGTATAACTTTAGAAGAATTTCAACCGGTACCGGGTGAAGCGGTATATTGCCCTCTACTATGTGCAAGTTCTTGAACATCTTGCACATCTTGTTCATAAAAAGGTTCTCTGAAGAACCAACCAAAAATGTTTTTTTCTAAGGCTCAGGCTCCCAACCCTAGTCCTGAAGTATCCCCTGCTATGCACATTGTAGTGTTTTCCAGCTCTACCATACCCACTTTGCAGGAAGGGCTTGCTAAGTAATTTAACTAATGATTGATTACGTGTGTTGAGAGCAGGGACCAGCAAGCACTCCTCTACGGCTTTTTTGGCACCTTAATTTTTAAAAGTACCTGTTTTTGGCTATTTTCTTTATGTATCCTTTTATCTCCACCATGCCAATAGCTGAAGATCACAGACTACCATGTGCGATGCACTGTCATTTCCCGCTATGCTATCACCACTGTGGAGAGTACAGTATGGAACCAGCTCCATCTCACCAAAGAGGCAGCCTTTGAGGTAGACCTGCCTCCCTCTGCCTTCATCTCCAACTTCACCATGTGAGTCACAAACAACACATTTGATTCCTCCACTACTAGAACGTATTAGCTAATACTGTGGCTTGCTTTACAGTTTAAGGAAAGGGCAGGTGCAATATTGCTTTTCTTGGATTGATAAGTGGAGCAGTAGATGCAAGAGCCCATAGCTACCAAAGTAAGTTTTGAACATTGTAATAAAGCAACTAATGAAGGTTTTCGTTGTCACATCATGGGAAGAAGCATTTGGAAATCTTAATGTGTTATGGGACACTGCTGCTGTCATAATAAAACATCTCAAAATGGTAACTTTGTACACTAAATCAGAGTGTTTGTAAACATAATAGTTGGCTATACTTCTTGGTCAATAACTCACATCCAGTAAGGAAGCAGTGAGGAAGCAGCTCAAACACAAAGAGAACAGACCGAACCAAAACTGGCGATAATGGTAAAATTGTGTGTCCCTGCTAGAAAAACTGGCACAGACCTGCATGGCTGATCACCAGCAAAACCAGCCTATGTTGTGTTTTCGAAGCTGGGATGTTGGTCAACTAGCACGGCCATGCTGTGTGACCAGCTAAAGCATCACTAGGCTGGCATAAACCATGGGTACACTTGACATTACAGCCTCAGACCACTGCTAAAAAACACAGCACAGACCAGCATGCATTCCATGCTGGTCTAAGCTGGTCTGTGCTGTGTTTTTTAGCAGTGGTCTGAGACTGTAATGTCAAGTGTACTCAAGCACATAATGGACTAGGTTTAAGTCTTTCCTGTTCTTAATGCCCAGCACAGTCGGAGTAAGTTTCCTTCTGTTTCAGACAGGTGGCTAGCCTGCATGTTCTCATTTATTCTTGGAAATACATGTGACTGAGAGAATACTATCTAGCAGTCTAGAGCAATAGGAAACTGAACTGTGCTGCACCTGGAGTTAAAACCAATTGATGCCTAAAATCAGTTCAGAATGAAGTCTCGACAGTCGTGCTTATCTCCAAAGAGTCTGTGCAGAGCTGGGAACTGTGTGCCACTGGTGACAAGGTAGCATTTAGCCTGATAAACAAACGTTTGTTTCGTTACAGAAGTGCATGGTTTTATAAGTGTTGGCAATTTGAATAGCTTTAGTGTTTCTTAACATCTGATTATCCTATTGTTCAAATATTAGCCTTACTAATACTCTCAAATAACTCTTAACATTAGTACAAAGTCCTGTTGTATAAGTGCAGTACTACCTATGTTATCCACCTAAAAGTTCTTTGCTGTAATGTAAGGCTGATTTGTCCTATAGGAGTAAAAAAAGTTCTCACCTTTAGTGTATCCTATAGTGAAGGGATTTATTCTAAGAAATGTTGGACCATTTCAATTGGTCCATTTCTAGTTACAAAGTTTTGATATAAGGACAAATGGTTACATCATATAGTTGCTACTGAACAGTTGCTGATGTACACATATTGGCTGTTATGGCTGGTGTAGGTTTATTTCTGCTTCAAGGAAACGAAATGAAAGCACATTAACACTCACAGTGGTAATGTTGGCCTTCTTGAGCAGAGTAATCTCTGTTTTCTGCTTCATGTGACATGGCAGGGTTATAATCGCATTAATGGTTCACTGCTGGGGAAAGAATCACTTGGGAATTGGGTAATAATAAATACACTGCAATTAATCCCTGAAACCCTAATTATCAAACATAACTTCTACTTCTCATTTGTCACCAAGAATCACTAGTTAGCTTCTGCGAGACAAAAAATGAAAGGAGAAACGTGGACCTCATTCCAGGCGGGCCAGCAAGAGGTGTAATCCAGAAATAAAACTTCAGAGGACGTCTCTCCGGAGCTCCACGGAAGAAAGGAGACACATTTGTGTGTGAGCGAGAGGCCTGAAAACCACTTTTCCTTTAGAAAGAATGCAGAGTGTAAATAAGATGCCTGCAAATAAGAAAATGGCTGCCTGGTAGAGCAGCCAGGAGCTGGATTTGGGGGCGGAAGTAGTTTAGGAACAGGGAAACTTTGGGGCAGATGAATAGCGGGCTTTGTAGCGAGAAGTCAGAGAGTTAATAGAGAAAATTACACCAGCTGGCCTTGTTCCCCCTCCTTTTCTTGCCCACTGGAGTTTACCAAGGCATGTAGCCAAGGTACACACATACAGACATATATGTGTGCACAAACACATACAGTACACACGCAAGTACAATGCACCCACACACTTATGCCCACGTGTAGGTTAGTTTCTAAAGAGCTAAAATACATCTGACGCATTTATAGATGCATACAATGCCTCAAACGCACTCAAACAAAAGCCCATCTGGTCAACACAGATATATGTTTGTCTTTAGTGTAGTACTGTTACACAGGCTGTAACTGAGATCCCTGTGTTCATCACATCGCACAGTCCTCTCATAGAGCACACATACAGCTGCCTCTATTTTCCACTGGCCCTTAAACTCCCCATTCAACCCTGCTCTGCCCAAAACAAGCTCTGTTTCAGGCTTGCCAGTTTATTTTGGTGGGTCTTTGTTGATTTTTATTTAAATATGTTTGCTTAAAGGGGTCAATCTTAAATTTAGCTTCTTCGTTCCCTTTGCTCCACCGCAAAGAGGATACAAGGCCTGCATAACTGGCTTTGAGTTGTTGAGTTATGGGGGCGTAAAGCATGGGGGAAATGCTGGTATATTAGGTAACAGGGTGTATATGTGGTGGGGGTGTTCCAGTAATCATGTTTTCTGAGGGAAATGACTTTTTCTGCTCACCCCTGCGTCGACCTTGCCTCCTATTTGCGTGTTTTTGAGTGTACTTCTTGGAGAAAAAACTTCTGAAAAACACTTTCACACAGATTTTTTACCCATTTAATTAAAACTAAAATTAAACTTTCATGCTTACAGAACATGTTTAAAATACTATTTTGCTAAGAAGATGCATATACATACATTTGAAGTATTAGTTTGGCAATCAAATTTACAGTTTTCCACTTACACCAGATGTAGTCGATCAGTCAAAATATGATCAGAGTTTAGACTTCGCTTCTTTAGTTTAGCACTGGAGGTACAAGGCTAACAAACAGTCGGAGTCAACTGTCACCCAAATCTTTTTCTCTCCAAAACTTCGTTCGACCTCCTAAAACTGCAACCAGTTGTGCGCACATGCGTGTTTTAGGACACAGTATGACTTTCTGTGACCTACACTCTCAGAAAAAAAGGTCTGAAACTGTCTCTAGGGCAGTACCCCTCTTGTCTCTGGGGTGGTACCCTTAGGGGTACATCTCAGTACTTTTTGTCAGGGAACATAATTGTACCATAATCCATTGAAATTATATTTTCTAAGTTTTTTTGACTCCACACACCCCGTCTCGTCTCCATTTTTTGTACCTTGATGAACGAAAAGTGTACCTGCACAGAAGCTTAATTTCTAAGTGTATAAAAATAAACATTTTTTCAGCTGAAAGCTGTGGGAAGCCATGTTAAACAACACATGTTTAGACAGCATTTTTACAGCTTACAGTAAGTCATACTTTGTCTTTAAGTCAGTTTGGCCTTAATGAAGAGCTGAATGCGGTTTGAGAGAGGGTTTGAGGATGTATTTATAGAAAAAGATTTAGGTGACTACTGACTTCTACTGTTTGTAGCAATGTTAGCTTCAGTGCTAAACTAAAAAAGCAAAATTTGGACACCAAACCTGTCTAGACTGACTGTCTACATCTGGGGTAAGCAGGACAATTAGATTTTTTGCCAAACTATTCCTTTCAGCAGTTGAGAATTGATGCATTACAGGGGGAAGCAGTCTTGACCTCACCTGAGCTTTAAAGGCTTGATAGCTCCCTTTAGTTTTAATTACTGTTTATGTAACATAACTATATACTAATTTCTCTTTTAATTAACCTCTCAGCACATCTAACGGTAAGGTGTTCGTGGCTGAAGTGAAAGAGAGAACTGCAGCCAGGAAGATTTATGACACGGCCAAGAAACAGGGGAAAACAGCAGGACTTGTTGCTACCAAGTGAGTCCAAAAGCGTATTTGACACCGTCTCTGCAGGGATTAAACCATGTTTCTTTTGGCACTGACTGAGTGAGCAGATCCACTTAAAACTGCTAAAGGCTATGTTTCTCTTACCTCCGACGGTCTGCCATATTAAATGCACTGTGTTTAACATTCCATACGTTCAAACCAAGTACAGTTCAAATAGGTTCTATGATTGAAATGGACCAGAACATTATTTATTTCACTAAACATTTGGTGTTTTGTATGGTTTACACCATTACACTCATTGTGAAATAGGGAAATGAAGAACATATTAATGTAACAAAAGGTGAATATTGTTCCTGCACTATTTAAGTTGTAAGATGTGTGTCTCTGGTTTGAAGGGAGCGGGAGATTGAGAAGTTCCGGGTGGCCATCAGTGTGCCTCCTGGAACCCAAATGTCTTTCTCCCTGACTTACGAGGAGCTGCTGACACGGCGACTGGGTCGTTATGAGCTGGCTTTGGGCCTGAGACCAGGGCAGCCAGTGCAAAATCTCTCTGTGGATGTTACGATAGCAGAGAAGACCGGAATCAAGTTCATCAAAGCCCTACCACTTAGGACCAGCCGACTACTCACCGACACTGTCCCAGGTGCAACTCACCATTGTAATTTGTAAAGTGCCGGAATTTTATCATGTAGCTGCTGTAGCTAGTTAGCCTACACTATAGCCAACTAGCTAGTCAGTGCCATTTACACACAATCAAATCTGGACATTCTGAGTGTTTAGTTACAGGTAAGATCATGGCTAGGGCATAGTTTTCAAGACCAAGATTAAACCTAATGCTAGACTAAAAGAATTTCCAATGGAGATTCACCACTGGAACTGCGATTTAGTCCTAGGCTTAATCAATGTCTGGGAAACCAGTCCCTAAAGATTTGGCTTGGTAAACTTAAGACAGTTAACTGAAGTCACCATGGTGGTAAAAATCAACTTGATTTCAAAGGTATTTTGTGGATACCTTCATGTACCACTGCTAAAAACTTTTTCTCCACACTTTCAGACTCCAGACCATGGGCAATGAATTAGGCAATGTCTATCAAAACTGAAATATGACTGGCCTTTAAATTTTCCTGTAAAACGTGATCTTTCCTGTGGCAACAGGAGTTACAGTTACAGTTAATGGTTCAGTTCAGTCATGCTACAGGTACGACTAGACTGCACAGGACAGGTGTTGGAAGAATGCCAATTTAACCCTTGCTTATAATAACACTTTAGCACCATAGATCAGCTCTAAGATGGATGTTAGAGAATTAATGTGTGTTATTGTTATGTTGGTATCTATTGTATCTGTGCTACAAAGCTTTGGTCCTGAAATACCTCTGTATATCACAGTTTGATGTAATTCTCAGTAAACTCAGATCAACCACAAAGATCGTTTTAGTTTTTTCTGGGCCTAAACTTTTATCAAGCTAGTTTCTGTAATGACCTTCAATGATTTCAGCATGCTGAAACTCTGAAACTGTTTGCACATGCTTCCAGCTGAGGCCGAAGCTCCCCCCTCCACACAGGTGCAGCAGAACCCATGCTGCGCTCATGTTCATTACAGCCCCACCCTGCAACAGCAGAGGAACATCTCCCCAAAGGGACTCAATGCAGACTTTGTCATTCAGTATGATGTGGAGCTGAAAGATCTCATGGGAGACATCCAGGTTATGGCACTTCTATGCAAAACCCAATAACACCTTCTGCTGTAGATAGAAGGAACTTTTTGTAACATGTTCCTTTGGTCCTATTTTCCAGGTCCATGATGGCTACTTTGTTCATTACTTTGCTCCACGGGGTCTGCCGGTAGTTCCTAAAGATGTCATTTTTGTCATTGACATCAGTGGCTCCATGATTGGCACTAAGATCAAACAGGTATCATCGACATCTTAACAATGGATAAAAGGCATCATGATAAAAAACACAGGTAGAATTCTCTGTCAGTAAATAAGGATCCTGCACTTTTACTTTGACACAGACCAAAGCTGCCATGTCTACCATCCTGGGTGACCTCCGTGAGGGTGACTACTTCAATCTCATCACATTTTCGGATAAGGTGCACACCTGGAAGAAAGGTCGCACCGTGCAGGCCACAAAGCAGAACATACGGGATGCTCGGGAGTTTGTCAGGAAAATTGTTGCAGAGGGCTGTAAGTGTCTTCACAACCTTTGTACTCATGTCCTATACCATTCAACAAATATCTTCATGAAGTTGGTAACTTCTCTCTCTTTCCTTGCCATTTGATCTCACCAGGGACAAACATCAATGCAGCTCTCCTCTCCGCAGCCCAGCTGGTCAACCCCACCTCATCCTCACCTTCATCACCACGCAAAGTACCGATGATTATCTTCCTTACTGATGGAGAGGCTACCATCGGAGTGACTGCGCAAGACATCATTCTGCATAACGCGCAAAGTGCCCTGGGCTCAGTCTCATTGTTCTGCCTGGCGTTTGGGGATGATGCAGATTTCCCTCTGCTGAAACGTTTGGCCATGGAGAACCGTGGGATAGCACGAATGGTAGGCAGCAATAAACAATAAAATTCTGGCTAATTCATCCAAAGTACAACCGCTAAAAGTGAAAAGAGAACAAATGAGCTAGCTAAAAAATATGTTGTATCCATTTTGATCATGTGCTTGTGCTCTCAGGTGTATGAGGATGCTGACGCTGCACTCCAGTTGAAGGGGTTCTATGATGAGGTGGCCAGCCCACTGCTGTCAGACATCCAGCTGTCCTACCTAGATGACCAGGCTTATGATGTCACCCGTGCTCTCTTCCCCAACTACTTCCAGGGCTCTGAGCTGGTGGTCACAGGAAAGATTAAGCCAGGAATACAGGGATCTGAAAGTCTCGTTGACAGCAAGCAACTCGAAGCAGAAGGTGAAAGTGGCAAATGAACTTGCCCTGGCCAAGGCTGAGGGTAATGGGACCGCAGCATTGCTTGGTTGTACAAGGGACCTGGACGGAATCTCCAGCTTTGTGCATCGTCTCTGGGCCTACTTCACAATCAAGGAGCTCCTGCTGGCTAAAATCAACAGCACAGATCCAGTGGCACAGCGCTTGCTAATAGAGAAAGCCACCAACCTTTCACTCAAATACAACTTTGTCACACCTGTCACCTCATTGGTAGTGGTCAAACCAGACAGTGAGGAGCCAAATCCAACTGCTGCACCTTCTCCCACAACTACAACTAGGCCTGTCACTACCACCACAGCAAGTGTGGGAACCACGGTTACACAGACCACTAGTGCTCCCCTTAAAATGGTCACTACTGTTGCCACAGGTGGCAAAAAGTCCAACTCCATCTTAGCTCCCAAAGCAGGCAAGCCTCCTCTCACCAAATCGCCTCGACCGCATCCCGCTCCTCCAGGGCTGCACACAACGGGGCGTCCAGGAAACACTCCTCCTTCACCAGACAAAAATGTGGCACCTCCATCTCCCAAGAAGACCACAATGTTACGACCCAGCTCATCTAAAACCACCACTGCCTCTCTTTCCAGCAAGGGCTCCACCACTCCAGCCAGCACCATGAGAACTGTAGCAGCTCCAGGCCCTGGGAAGAACACCCTTCTGCCACTCGACTCCACCAGTACAGCTACTCCACTCACCAAGAATTCCACTACACTGCACAGCACTGTTAAAGTCACAACTTCTGCTGTGCCTGTCAAAACCACAACAACAACCAGCTCAGCGAGACCTCCAGTCCTGTCTGTGGGGAAACCTACATCCTCACCTGACAGTGAGAATTCCACCACAGCTGAAGTTCCTACTTTATTGCCAGATCTTCAGGCAGTCCCAGTATCCAATGCCCCAGCTGCAGACACTGACACAGAAATAAATGTGGATCTGGACATTGCCACTCTTGTGGCTGCCACCTTTGCCCCTATGCCAGGCCTCACAGATGCACCCAAGCTGTGGGAAGCTTCTGGTATTTTAGGTATGTACCACTGAAGCTCTTTCAGGTCATTCTAGGTGGGCAACAGGGCTTACTTATGTAGCAGCTGCATATTTCTATAGTAGTTTTTAATGTTTTCTGGAGGTTGAAATGCAAATGGAACTACATTTGTCTGCAGTAATCTTCTTTCCCCATGGCACACACCACATTAGTTATAAATAGGAATAGCAATGTATTTGCCATGTTTTGAATACTATTGTGGTATCCGGCTGTGACAAGTGAAGTACATGACAGTTTATGGCCATGACTAGCTATAAGGACACAGGTCTGGACCTGGGTAGTTTCGAAAGGTTTGATTTTTTCAATGTTTTTCCATTTACAAATTTAATGCGGAAACTGCACCATCTAGGTAATGTGTTGGTGGAGTACTGTGATCAGCATTGACATGACTGAATCTCATCACAGACTGACCTCAGAACAACTGTTGTTTGTCAACAGACTTATAGCCTACTATATTTAACTCTACATAAGACTTTTTGCTAAGATTTAACTATTATAAGTACTTAAATAATTAACATTAACAAAATGAAACAGAAGACAGAAGAGTAATAGCAGTTTATATAACAATGTAGAGAAATTAACTAATTAAATAGGTACATAAATATCTATTGTTAAAAAAGAGAGTAATAAAGTGCTGAGAAATGGGTATCTGAAGTTAGCACTTGGTGTAGAACATATTTGGCAGTGTGTTTAATTCACTATTTAAAGTAGGTCACAGCTCTGCAAAACAGACCATGATTTTGACCCTGGTTATGGCCCTGCAACTGGCAAATTATTATTATCTAAATCTAAAAAAAGAACTGACCATCTACTGTCTTCACAGTTAGCCACACCCTTTGAAATCGTTCTCAATAGTTATATATGAAGCTGTGAACACTCCAAGAAACATAAGTCATAAAACCTTTTGTTGGTACTATATAGAACATTGTTTGATAAGAGTGTATGATGGGTTAAGTTTAAGGGAAATAATAACTAATCATCTTCTGACAACTCAGCACTACAGTTCAGAGCACTACAGCACACATTTCATGACCTCCCACTAAATATATAATAATACCCCAATGAATAAGTTTAAAGCTATAGTCCTTCTGCCTTTATTTATTATAGATACTGACCCAATAACAAACATCCTCTCCTCTGTCTGCCAGATGTTTCTACAGCCATCCAGTTTCAGACAAAAGGTAAATTACACACTTTTGGCACTTTACTTTTTACTTTCATCAAGCTGGTATTTGTACAAGTTTAAGAAAGAGCTACTATAGTCTAATCCGTCCTGGTCCATTTTATTAGATGGTTATACTTGTCATGAAATTGCTACATGAAATGTATTTTTGTGTAGTTCTGTGGTTTTATTCCTAAATTAATTTGCAAAATATAAAAAAGGACTTGAGGTAATTGTCTGAGTAACTGTATTGTGATTACTAATTTGTGACATGCACAAAATTATAGGGTAGTAAAACTAAAGCAGGTATATATCTAATGTATCTTTTACCCTCTGTACAGATAATGAAGCTGTCAAAGGTACGTCATTTAAACAAAATCACCATTAAAAGAACACTGACTGATAACTGTAATGCATTTATTTATAGTTTTTACAAGCTTCATATACCCTAAATTAGTTTTTTTAAATCGATTTTGTAGAGTATGACGTCACATATGACTACGACTATGACTACACCATCCATTACGACTCTTGTAAGTCAAATAAGCATTGAACAAACACTGATACAACAGCCTTAAGTAATATGTCACTTGTCATCTATTTATAATGAGACTGCTTCCATTCGTAGTTAATATATAAAACTTTTTCATAGATCCTGATGCAGAAGCAGCTGGTAAGTAGTTCTTTTATTAAATATTCAGAAATATTTCTTGTACATTTAGAATAATTCTTAGTAATGTGTCTTGCAAGTTCTTTTAAAGTGTTATTTCATAGTGGATGTTAGAGAATTCATTTTATCTTCATTTCACCCTCCAATTTCTTTCAGCTGCCCCGGACAACCCCCCCTCAATAAGTTCTTTTCGAATCTTCTCCTCCTCAGGTGGGTCACAAAAGAGCTTCAAACTTCATCATTGCAATTTGAAAAATCTACTAATTAGTGATTGTGCATTGTGAGGCAACCCACTTGTGATGATGTAAGTAATTTAGCAACTCCATATTAACCATGTGGCATACAATAGCAACCACCTTGCAACACTCTAGCAACCTCCCAGGATACTACAGCAACCACACAGCAACACCTTAGCAATCAACTGAAACATCATTGTATTCATTAGCAACACCATAGCAAGCACCTGGGATTTCCACAGCAGAACCCTAGCAACTCCCTAACAACCACTTAACAACCACCTGGGATACCACAGCAACTGTCTAGAAAAAACTAGCAACCACCTGGAAATTGCTTCAACTGCACAATCACTGCTGCGGTCACTTTCAGGAAATGCATTTTTCTAGTTTTACTGTCATCATTATTACATGTTTTATTTGAAAGTGAAAAACATTTATGCAGTATTTGAGAGGGAATGTTTCCTATGCCTTAGAAAAAGCAGCTTCATTATGTTTTTATATCCCTAAACCCCTTTCATTGTGTTTTTTAAGTGGATGGAGACCCCCATTTTGTTGTTACGCTCCCTAAATTGCACCAGAATCTGTGTTTCACTGTTGATGGCGAGGCCAATGATGTGTTACGTCTCCTTGAAGATCCAGGCAAAGGTAAACATTGCAGTAACATGCATATCTGAACCTCCCACCATTTTAACTCAAAAACTATGTTATGATTATTGCAACAATTAATGCTTTTTAATATTGCTTGTTAACACTTTGCAGGCATTATAGTGGATGGCCATTTGATGCTGGCTCCTGCTAAGCTTGGATTGGAGGACCGGACTCGTACCTTCTTTGACAAGATAACCATCAGAGCCACTAAGGGCGGCATAAAAATCACACTGACAATAGACTCCGTGGTAGTGAAGGGGGAGGGCCTTCAAAGTCTGCCCACAAATCAGCAGGGCTCTGTAACTGGCCCTGGCTGGAAGATTGTGCTTGACGGACACCAAAGCTGCTGGCTTGAATTTGGGAAGCGTGTGCTCTTCCTGGTCCTCTTCCATCGATATAGTCACCCCAGCTACTTTCAGATTGAGCATCTGGGGTTCTACATCGCTGAGAGCAATGGACTGTCCAGTCTCACGCAAGGGCTACTGGGTATGTACACTGTATTTTCTTCTTTTTCTTTCAGACGTTTTTATATACTTTTCAATGTATTCTCAAATATAGTCAGATAATTCTCATACGAGTGTAGTATTTCCAGGGGGGAACCCTCAGGGTATTCTAAACCTTCATAGATATATTAAAACTCTGTACTGTAGAAATGCTTTCATACAGTTGTGGTTGGAAGCTCAAGGGTCAAAATCTTGAAACGCCCAATGGAAAATAGTCCAATCAGGATTTTTTCTCTCCCTAGTATATAATTAGATACAGCAAAGCAAGCTCTCCCATTGGTCCAGCCTTCAGGAGCTGGACAGAAGGCCTTAAACATTAGATAAACCACCAACATAATAAGGAAGTAACAGTGGAAGTTACAATGGGTGGCACCAATTTTGTCATTCTAGGCCTTCTGGAAGTAGATATGTCGCTGACTGTGAATATAAGCCGTATTCTAACCAGGTTTCAGTCAGTTCTTAGAAATGCAAAGTAGCAGCAGCAGCTTTATGCCAGGGCTCTTTACTGAAGGAACAGCACAACATTCAGGGTAAAACATCATAATGAAATTCATGAGCTTTAAATAAAACATGGAATGTCATTTACGAACTTCAAATGTCCATGTTTAATCTAGAAAGGTCATAAAAAGTCCTTGTATGCTCCAGCTTCGCGCTAATGTACTATGAGAAATCCTATAACGGTGCTAACAGAAATGAGTTTTATGGTGGAGGTGTCTGTTCTCGCTTTTATTTTGACATTTATGGACTGAACTGAAGGCCTAGCTCTAACAGTCATCTCATCCTCATCCACGTTTCCAACAGAGGTCTCTTCTGCCTCAAAGAAGACCCTGACATCCAACTGGCTTTGGGTCAAGAAGCTCTGTGCTGTATTTCTTTCACAATAAAAATTAGTCTATTTGCATCCTCTAGGAACTCTATCCATTGGTGGCACTTGCCATACATTGCAAACAAAAATGAAAGTTAGCTGTAGAGCGCATCTCTACAATGAACAGTAGCATTTTTACCAGATTAAGTGCCAGCGTACACATAGAGCATTACTAAAAGAGAACCTGAAAACCTCTTCTTCCATTTTTCCTCACAGGACAGTTCCAACACAGCCACATGGAGGTGGTGAGGATAACGGACAGCCATGGTACTGGGTTCCACCACGCTCAGACAAGCAAGAACAGCTCTCTGGCCATGGGCCTGCTGAAAAAAGGGGACGAGCACATTCCAGTCACCTTACAGGATAAGACCCTGAAGGACACACCAAGCAAGCACCACTTGGCCCAGTGTTGGGTGGTGCCCAAGGTGGAAGTAGAACGACTTCTGGGTCATTCATACCAAAGCTACGTGGTAGATCACTTATAAATGCCTTGCTGGTGTCTCTCACTGACTTTGCATCCAAGGAATCACAGCAGGGCCAAGAAGGACAATGGGACCCTAATGGGACTTATTCAGTCATGCAGTGCTACATGAAATACAAAGCGAGAGTAAATGAGTAATACCAAAGAAAGCTTCAGTCAGTAGAGCAATATTATGAGTGGAGTAATACAGGACTGAATGCATAGTCAAAACAAGTGTTCTTAAAATGAGAACTGTAAATCCAAACCAAAGTCACTAAAAATACTGTAGCGTCATTAGGTGAGTTTCCTTACAATTATTTTAATACATTGTGAAAACACATAAATTATTTTCAAAGCAAAGATTTTTAATATAATTAATATAATGATTAATCTACATAAATATGTGTATATAGTGGAGACTGGGGTTGGTTGACAGTTTTCACTTTCTGACGCATATCCAAGGCATATCATACATTAGCATAACTCAGCTAGCAGCAAATGAAAGCTTAGCTGAAAACATTTCAAAACGCTTTCAGAACGCTTTTCAGAATTTGTGCATTCATGACCGAATCCATGTTGTGCACTTGTGCCACATGGCCCCAAGCAAAATTATTCAACGGCAAATCAAAAACACTTCGAATCAGTTAAAGGTTAGGAGCGTTTTAATTTTATCATTCGCTTTTATTCACTAAGATGAATGAAAAAAAATAAAAATGTGCTACTTTACCAATTTAAAAAGTATTCTTCTATAATTAGCTTTTATTAAGACATTGACTTTTTACTGCTTAGTGAAGATAAATAATAAAAATTCAATCATATTTAATAAATAGTTTGTGTTTAAAGTTTTATCGTGAGATAGACTCACCTAGCAATAATTGGCCTAAAGCTTAGAGGTAAGAACAACTTTAATAAACAACTTTAATGTAAATTTAATATAAACAGTGATACAGTGCAGTACTGCATTTTAGTTGTGTTAGTGTGCGTATAGTGTATAATGTAACATTTTGTTGCTGTCAGGACAAACCCTCATATCTCCATTATTGTCCAGTTTTCTTCATTTTTCATTTTTTGACATAATTTGAAAAAGGCAGTTGCAATTTATGTTGTGTCAAATAACTTGTTTCATGATGAACCAACAGAAATGGTACAAAATTACTTGGAAAATAAATATTTCTCCATTTAGTTCTTTTAAAGGTTTAGAACGTTTTTCTTTGTCCTGTAAAGTTACCTTTCTGGAGGTACGAGGTTCAGTGCTGACAGCAACAATATGTTTGTGACAACAGCCTTACCCTTGGGCAAGCCGACACATGTGCCAACCAACCCCACCTACATCAGGACACAACTCTGTATTTACTTCACATTAGCTAGCTAGTATTACTTAACATTCACTTTCAAATCATATATGAAAATATAGCTGATTAATAGATCATTACCTCTCCTTGACATATTTTTCATAGTGTAGTGTTTACTCAGTAAGACATTTATTTTTGCTTGAAAAAAATCAAAAAGTTTAAAATTTTGTAATGTTCAGAGTATCTTGACAAAATGGACAATTGCTGGTCAGGAGGACGGTCATTTATAAGTTACATTTTTATGAGCGTTTCTCCTACTGACCCTGAAATTTAACACTGTGCCAACCAACCCCGTTCTCCTGTGTTTTATTATTGTTCATTACAACTTGTGTACATGTACAATTTAAATTTGTACATGTAAGTCTTCTCCTCAAAAAAGTGTGATGACAAAGAAGCATTTCCTTTTTTTGTGTTTCCCAAAAAAGACCAACGAAATTCAGATTCTCAGCATTTTATTCACATTTGAATTTATTTCATTCATTGCACAAGACTGCTCAAACACCTGTGATAAAGTCACAACTTAAACTGCTTTGTCTGAAGTTCATATGCCAGTGTTAAAGTGTTTAGTTTCAAGATACACATAATGGAAAATAAATAAAAGTACAAAATAACATTTAAACAGCTACTAGAAATCAAACAAACAAGACGATGCAGAATTCCAAACAGAACTATGCTTGCCAGTAATGCTATTTGATTCAGTTTCCATTGAGAACATTGTCTGTCGTTTAACATTATACACGGATGAAAGAAGAGGAAAATCGGATGATGCAGGACTTGTAGCATGGTAAGTGGGTCTAAAAGACCACAGGCAACTCTGACCTTATGAAAATTAAGAAACTTGCTGTTGATTTTTTACCTTTCCTGTGAAACTACATGAAAACTACCGCCGCAATCGTAGACTCAGCAAGTTGAACATGGGAAGTCAATACAGGACATCCAACCGATGCGTGAGCTACACTGACAGCAGCGTAGTTAAATGCTCAAAATGCACAGCTTCAGGTGGCACTTGGAGGCCAGTATCAACATCTACGTTAACAAAAAAACACAAAGCGACCAAAAAAAGAGCACACTTAAGACCCTTCAGAATAAAGTGTCTGGAAATAAAAATGAAACGATAAAAAAAAGAACAGAAAAGAATTAGTCTCAGTTTGTACTAACAACGTTACGTGTTAACTCTGTACACATTGATTTTTTAAGTGTAAAATGTTACAAAGTGACTCAAGCATGTCGACTGCAAGGTAACAGTCCATGGTAGGAGCCACTCCAGCACACAAATTCAATCAAAATTGACACAAAGAGAACCAAGTTTTTAGACCAGGGTCCAGCCTAGTTTACAAAGCCAGAACAACTAGAGGATATGTTAAGTGTCAAACCACAAAAAGACACAATAGTCATTATCTTTTTAATTCACATTGACATGATTCCTATAGAAACTCTTGCAGCTGTAAATACCAATTGCAGGTAAATCATTTACATCCTTCTACACGGGCAACAAAGGTTATGTTCACATTATCAGACTAAAGTGGCACAAATCAGATTTTTTCCCTTAATGTGACACAGGTCTGATTTTTTCAGAGCTGTGTGGACACTCAAATTGGATCTTTTCAAATCAGATCTGAACTATTTTCATATGTGGTCCTAGATTTGATACATTTCTAATTTGGGGCCATGAACGCTAACATCAGAATTTATTTTATTTTTCCACTGCCCATGCACCATCATTCAGTACAAACGTGGAATCTGAAGTATGTGCCAGCAAATGGTGCAAAAGCAATGTATCTGACCATTTTTCACCTCATCTTGCTCTAATAATGAACAGCAGGGCAAATGATCTTTGCAACAAAGCCTTGTTCTGCTGGTCAGTTTGTTTGTTCTTCATTACACACATGGTTCATTCACATCACGTTACTCATCAGGATGTGCGCATGGGGGGTGTTTCAGGGCACAGGTCACTTGCATTAATGACAAATTTGATCTACACAAATGTGAACCACAGAGTTAGAAACCCGGGTCTGAGCAAAAAATTGAGACCTGAGCAATGAGGCTTGTAATGTGAACGTAGCCAAAAGCGTTAATGGCTTGTAACTCCAACTCCACACTGCATATGCCATTCCAGGCCTCATATTGACCATATTCACTGCCAAACAGAAGAAACTTAATAAGCTGAGTATATTAGTGAACAGCTATAGTGTAATAAAAGCAGGGTCATTTGGGAAGATGACCGTTATTCGGTGGAACCCATCTTTAAGTTGTCTGAAAGGTGCATGCAAGGAGATTCTCCAAATTTTAGATCAACCTTCTGCCATTGTAACTTTTAAATGATGTGATGGTCATCAAGTCTGCATATGCGAAGACCTGGGTGTGAAGCTTTGTACTTGCCAATGACACTTTCCAGTGCGTGGGAAGGCTGCCGTGGCTCTGTTACCAAAAGTCTGTAGGACTTATTTTAGTGTCTTCAAATTAAACAATGCTATTATTGAAATGTGGAAAGTCATGTTAAGCATGTGGGGGATAAACAGTTTGGTCTGGTGTTTTGTAGTGATTTCACAGTTTATATCTACTTCAGACACTGTTACATTGTCTCTCATTAGTGGATTATGTAAAGATGTGAGCTGCCGCCAAAGGCATCACTCATAAAAACCAAAATGACTCCCAAACAAATAAGGCTTGTATATGTTTCACTTCGACAGGATAGTAGCTCAAAAACAATGCATGACGTGTTCACGAAAGGTCTAACATCAGCCTGCTTTGTGAAGGATGAGTTGGGGAATGTGAGCGTAGGAGCATTGTGCCTCTGTGCTAAAGTGTACGTACTTGGGAAAAAGGGACTAAGAGAGAGGAGGAAACGAGGCGTAAGACAAGAAGAAGGAAAGCTAAGGACAGCTGAACGTTGTCTATGACTAGGCTTGATTGCTGTAACTTGCACTCAACTTTTGATCTGTTTAAATCAAATCGATTTATCTAAAGCAAAGCAATACCCCAGTTCCCCTTGTAGCTGTCCTCATCTCTCACCTCCTCCTTCCCTCCATCTTAGTCTCCTCGCTCACTGCTCATCCTCCCCGAAGACGTCGTTCTGTTTGCGCTTCATATTCTCGAAGTCAAAGTCGCTGCCGGTCATGCGCTTGTAGATGTCCTTGATGTCGTTGCAGGTCGTCTCGAAGTGGGTGGTTGCGTCGTAAGACCGTGACGCGAATATCTGGAAGACATCACACAAGGCTTTTCATTGCTTCTGTAAGTATAACTCACATCTTTGAAACAGTAACTTCACAGGAATGCTTTTAACTTTACTGTACATTAATGGAAGTAATTCAAAGCAATTTGGGCCATCATTATTGGTCCATTCATTACAGCTGATTCACGGGCAGCTGACATTTGAGTATGGTGTTAAAAAACAGGCTTACACTACGTGATCTTTAGCCCAATTTTTGTTATGATATAAGTTAACAGCAAATTTTCAAACTGAAAGTGAATTTTCAGGGTGGGAGCTCAATTGGAAGCGAGTGACGGCATGGATCACCTGGTAGTGTGAGAAGAGAAATAACTCTACCTTTCGCCTTCCAATCAAGCTCCAGAGTGATGTTTGATTAGTAACAACCACTAGTCCTGTTCTGTGGGATAGTCAGTGATGTAACTTAACGAGAGCTTTAAGCAACAGCCAATAACAGCAAGAGAGAGAGAAAAAGAAACATGTACGTGCAGTGATGGTAAAGCTGGCTGTTAAAGGGTCAATATCCTCAGAAGTCACAAAATTAGCACTTTGTGTGGTTTTATGTACCAAAAACTGCCATAGTTCATTTTTACACAACCATTTTCCAACATCTCTTAATCCCTGTTTTGATTACTTTTTGTTACTTGGTGTCTTTAAGACCAGTATATGGAAATAAGCTCTGTTCTGACTGGTTCCCCTCTCTTGTGCCACATAAACAGCTAATTCAAAACAGCCCATTTTTGTAGATTAATTTTCTGAGTCTCCAGTGGACTGGGGAGTGAGCAGTACATTTTCAGACTCCAACAATATTTACATATTACATCTTGTGTTTTAGCTGAGATCCCAAACAAGTCATACACTGCTCAGATTTGTCAAAATAACAATGCTCATGTTTATCTGAACCCTATAAACTCTTATTTCTCCTACATTAGTCTCATATATTTCAGGTCTCCTATTTATCTAATGCATTTCGTCTGAGGAGAATCACATTAAATCTTCTTAGCCTTAAAAGATCAACATTTGAGCAATACAATTTTCCTGTGAGGTGGCTAAGCCACAGACTCTTAGATGGTAAAGTCTTTGCATGATTTTTGCAATTTCATTCTTTGTTACTAGACTGATTACAGTTTTGTGACCAAATTACAGCTTCTCAATAGTCGAAACTCATTAAGTCTTCTTCCTCCTTTTTTATTAGTATTTTAGATGTTGTGTAGTGTACTCAGCTTCACGTGTTTAGTCTGGGCTAGAAAAAGTGAAGGATGGAAGAGCTTTCTCTCACCTGGCTCTCTGAACCATCATCTGTTGGTTCATACATGTCACTGATGGCCACAAACCTGGAACAAAGACAGAATGATAAATAGAACTGATTCTAGAGATTCTTACTGATTCCTGTCTGCTATATAAATAGCTACTGTCCATAAAAAGTAATGAAGTACTTTTGGTCGATGGGCTCAAGGAGCTCCAGAGCAGGCTCGATTTCAGCTTCAGGCTCCGCAGTTTCCACAGTGGTGCTTACGATGGCAATGTACTTCCCCTGGGCCGCAACGTTATGGGCATAGGAAATCATGCACACATAGATATCTGTGCCAAAATAATAAAGGATTATTATTTCACACTCATTCAAAACACGCATCTGGCTCTCTTCTGAGACCAAATTGAAAACAAAAATGTAACCATGCCCTCTAGTGGTAGTACCATGCAATTAATTTAGAGAGTATGCTTATTTTTATCAGTTCACCTTATCTGAGAAACAGGGATGTTATTACACACTGCAAGGCCATTTCATGTTGTCACGTTCAAAGAGGGTGGACTGGATGGAATACAGATGCAATAACAGAAAGGCCTTTGTTTGGCACTGACCTGACTTGCGGTTAACCTGGTTCTGGGGGATGATGATCTGGCAGGAGTTAGCATCATTAGTGTTTTTTATAGGATGACTGAGGATGCAGATGACCCGAATCACCTGGCCTGCTTTGCGCACACGGTCTGGAATGTAGCTGGGGTCACAGATGAGCTGCTTGCATCGAGCAATCTGAAAAGAAGAAAAATAACATGAAGAAGTAATATAACAACATCCTGCCATTAATGTTAATGATGCTGAATGATTCTGTAATTTTAGTATTGGAAGATTTTTTAAAAATTACTGTAATGAAATAAAAGTACTGATATAATGAAAAAAAAAACGTCCCCTAGGAAAAAAATTAATCAGTTAAATTAAATTATTACATCCCTGCTACAAAGGTGATTCTAAAGGAACATGGTTTAATACACTAAACTGCCTGAACACAGAATATACTTACAATATAAACCAGGGGTGTGTGTGTGTGTGTGCACCAAATAAATCAAAATGTTGACTAACAATGATACGCACAGTGTCAGAAATGGCATATAAGAAAAAGAAAATCTGCTATTTTCTCCCCAAAATATTAGCTGATATGATGATATGGCCACAAACCTATTACTGCAGAGGAAACGTAAGAGTCTATAAAGTGCTGACCTGTCTAAGTCAGCAGTTCTCAACCTAAGAGAGCCACTCATGCTTTGTGGCACTGACTTCAAAGGAGATTATCACAAGTTTATTTTGCTTTGTTAAATTCATAATCTTTAAAACTACATTTTTGACTGATGCAAATAATTCAGTATTATTTTTCTCCTTGTAAAATTAATGCAGTTGCACTGGGAGGAATTAGGAGAGATGCATCAAGAAAACTAATGAAATGTTACACCACTACCAGTTACAGTTCAGTTTACCTCTCCTTCTGATTTCACTCCAATGACGTGACCATCCTCTACGACTATCTCATCCACTGGCTTGTTCAGCATGTAGGTTCCTCCGTAAATTGCACTTAGCCTGACAAGACAAAGACAGAAGACTGTGATGTCCATGTTCAAAAATCTTTGTAAAAAAAAACACGATTGCTGTGGCATCTAGGCTGAAGTGCTGGGTTGGTGTTTTGCACACCTGGCAAAGCCCTGAGGCAGTTCCCCCAGGCCGTATAATGGGTACAGGTATGGGCTTTTCCCATAGCGAGCCAGAGATTCACTGTACAGCTTGATCCGATTGATGGTCTCCAGGCATGGCTGCTCAAGGTAACTGAGGGGAGGCAAAAAGAAATCACAATCAAGAAGTCCTGTTTTTCAAGAAATTTTGACACTGAAGAATTTTTTTATGTAATAAACTGATCATAACATAGTAAGAATGTCCCTTGTTAAACAGCACATATGGCTGTGTGGCCTGGGTTAAAATTATTCACTGCTAACTGCTACTACACATGGAGGGAGTGTCATGTTTAGCCTGTACCACTACACCTGTGATCATAATGTTATTGTGTTGTTATTATTTTTGTCTTTTTTAGGAGACCTACCATTATTATCATTTTTATTCTTCACTTCATTTTTCTTTATTTATTCCCATATTTTACGGCTGTGACTACTGTTTATATTAGTAATCATGATATCTACTGATTATTTTGAATAATCAGAATAGTAAAAAAGAGGCCAAACAATAAAAATAGACAAAAACATGCAAAGCCTCTAAACACTTCATAGGAAATAGATTAACTACAAAGCTTTTGAAAAGACTTAAAAATATAAGCATATAAGTGGGTTTGTTGATTAGACTCTGTTTCTTACTGTAACAGTCAGTTTTCAACGGTGCACCTAGTTTTTTTGTTGGTTAAAAGAATGGTTCACTCAAAAATCGACTTTACCCATTTTTTTTCCTTTATTCCATACTTGCTCTTGAGCAACAAGGCTAACAAGTAATGGACCTTTATGTTACCCAAAATCTTTTTAGAAGACACAGACTTCTATTATTTTGTCTCTGAAGCACCAGAGCAAAACTAAAGAAGTACACACCAGACACCAAATATGTATTGACAAATCTGCAAATCTGATTTTACAGCGGACCACTGCTATGAGGGTAGAGATGTATTTAAACCTCTTAGAGGCACCAAAAGGCACAGAGAAAATAGACGCTTTCAGCTACAATGAACTAGTAACTACATGGTTTAACCAGAAGTGTTTACTGAAATGTAAAATCTCCACAACTTTATACAACTTAACCCAAGAATATGGCATCAAGTGAACATAATCTCAATTTCTAGCACAGTAATTGTGATGAAAGTACTTACTCGTCTGTCCTGTAGAGGGCCAAGGCATGTCCGGTAAAATCGATAACATCCTGCCCCAAGTCAAACTTCTTGTACACTTCTCCCATTGTTGTCTGTTTGGGATCAACTCCCTCAAAGGTCTTTGGGTCGTTCTCATCAAAGTTGGCCACAAAAACTAGGAACTTCCGGAAACGTCTCTTCTCAAACATTCCCATTAGATCTGGAGAAAACAGAAGGAAAGACAATAAAGGCCTTGATGTTGGAGCTTATTCAGGTCTTGCTACACAATCATATAAGTGAGAAGCTGCACTGAATGTACTTAATTCAAAGGTCTCCATAATTTTTCTGTAAATCAGATACATTATGTCTACATAGTTTACTAATTACTGCCAAAAGACAGTGAGCTGAAAGATAAGATTGTGCAGATTATTTTAGTTGTATAAAAATGATACACTTTTAAATTAAAAGGCCATAGCATGCATTTTTTTCTTTTCCTTTTTCCCCATTTAAGGCATATGCATGGCTTTATGTGCCAAAGGCAGTCATTCATTTTTACATGACTATTTTCCAACCTCTATTACAAAGAATTAAACAGGCTGTTTTTTGTTACTGTGCCTTTAAGACTGGTATGTGTAAATGACCTCTGCTCTGATTTGCTGTCCTGTATTGTGCCTCATTCAAAAAACTAAAACACAAATGGGTGGAGCTAAACTGCTGTAGGCTGAATAGGTGTATACATGTAAATATGCTGGTTTGCGTGAAGTCACAGAAACAGTGAACTCGAAAGCTGCTTTCACACTATAGTTGCCATATACGGACTGTATGGAGTGGGAAGTAAACACTACGTTTTAGAATTTGAACACTATTTACATACAGCATCAAAATCTGACGACAATCTGGTTTTCCTGTGAAATGGGCCCTTAAAATAAATTCAACGCGAGACCAAATGATACATTTCATAAAGTTTCTTTATACATACTTGAAGCCAGTGCCTCAGTCTCCGTTGAGGGCACTTTATAGATCTTTCCTCCTTTGTACACAAAGCTCCCCTCCACCACTTTGAAGTCCAGATATCTGGTCACTTCAGTATATAACAGCATCTTGACTAGCTGCCCTGTAGAAATCACAATGTGACAGACTGTGATATACCCACATTACCATTGGGTTAAATTTTTTCAAATCCATTTTAATGTTATCATCAATTAAAATCCCTTAAAACCCTGAGATTATTACACCCTATGTCTTATTATACAGTAATTACATAGAAAACAGTGCAAACTGGCTGCATTATTCTTAAGTTATAAAAGTGTGTGATAAAAATCTGGACCTGCTGCTGATTAACTGCCACATCTAACACATCTTAAGAAGTTTAACTAGCAATGGACAACATAACAACTATGGAATACTATGTATAAAGACTCATTTCAAAGCATGCTACAGCATCTAGAATGTGTTTAACAAATCCATCATGGAAGCAACTGTCAAATTTGGCTGCTTTACTACCATTGGCCATGAGAAATTTAGGGATGAGGTCAACGTTCCAGTCTCTGCCCCGACCCATCGACTCTGGAGGCCCATCTGGAAGCTCAAATCGCTTATAAAGCTGAGGGGGGGAAGAAGCACATGCAAAAGCCAGCATTTATATTAAAAGGTGAATCCATTTCGTATTACAGAAAACCACATGTATGTAAAACCCTGACAAACATGCAGTCCCAAAATTGTCTCATTAGCCTGGACAGAACATGGTGCTTGGCAGCAAGGCTTTGGATGGCAGCAGTACTGAATTACACAATGCAGATGGCAGGCGCTGAGTGAGCATCCTTACCTCCTCCAGAGGGGTGATGGAGGAGCTTTCTCCTCCGTAGTATGGGTTCCTGTCCATGTGTAAAACTTTCTTCCCATTCACTGACATGATCCCAGAGAGAATACATTCCTATAAGAATAATAATAAAAATAATAACCATAATGATAATAATAATGGCTTGATGGATTTTTCTGGAGTAAAAAAAGAAGCAGAAGTAACCATAAGAAATGAGGTAGTAGTGGTGGGCAACGTTTTCATGATCTATCATGGCATTCTGTTTATCTGAAGTTTGACAAGTCAAAACAGACATATTAGAATCAGCAGTGCCACATTTTTAAATTACTATCAAAAAAAATATTCTTATGCAAGTTTTGCATACTGGACTGTCCTAAATCCGATTAAACAGGATTCAGTATGCTCTTTTTAAAGCTGTTTACATCTTGAATCAACATACGATTTTGATAATCGGATCAAGTTTCGGATTTTTCCAGGTGTAAACACCCCCAGGACGCCCTGTGAACTGATTACGATCAATCACTCAAACCACGTTCAGAGGTGGTCAAATATGGATCTTGGCCACTTCAAAACACAACTACAACTGAAATATGTTTTCTATATCTACAATCAATTACATAAGCAGATGTGTATGCCGAGTGCTGACTAGCAGATGAGAGGATAAACAAGGAAACGCAAGATAGAGGATCTGCAAGGCTGGAGTTATCCCCAAACCAAGAGCCTTCTTGTTCTCTAGGCTGATGAAAAGGTCCAAGCCAAGCTCAGGATTTGCACTGAAACGTGGAAAAAGTAAACAGAAGCAAAACAGAAATGACATATGTGTTGATGTGCTTTTTACGCAGGGCAGTAAAATCGAATCTTACTTGGTCACACTGGAGACACACTTTAGTGAACTCACATGAAACACATGTTCATGCAAAGCGTAAACAGTCTCTTTGTAATGAAACATGGTCAGTTGTCCTATTTACAGTAAAAAAATCATAATACCTTGCTGTTATTGTCAAGTACTTTTTTGCCTTTTGTCTATTTCACTGCTCTTTCATATATGCTTGTATATGCATATAATGTGTAGGTGGAGCTGCATTACTATACAAATAAAGTGTATTGTTATTAATGCATACAATACCAGCAACAGACCCAAACTAACAACAATACATCAGTTTTGTAGTATGAATTTCCATTTACAATAACGTCAGAAGTGAAATTCAACGTTTGGTCGAAGAAATGATCCATTTTAATGGCCCTTTTTGTCCATTAACTGGTGGCTTTCCGCGTTGCGCCCTGGGATTCGTCTCCTCACCCCACCCAAGGCTCCTTCATCACTGTATAGCGCCTCTCATCGGCCACAAAACATACTAAACACCCAGTTTCCCCACAGCCAGAATATTATATTTATTTTAAGCTATAAAATATATGAAGTTTAATAGCAGTTAGCATTTAGAAAACGACTTTCCTCGTCAGAGGGAACATTAACTAGTTAGCTAGCCGAGCCTAGCCTACCATACTGCGCCCTGAATGAACCCCACAGATACAGCGTTACGTTAGCTAAAGCCTTTTGTTTACCGACCGTCAACATGGCAATGAAAACGGTTCTTAAATGTCACGTATGTCAACATTAACCATCACTGGGCCATTATTAAGATACACGCAGTTTTTTTTCCTTTTTCGACGCACAACCGAGACACCTGATGCCACTCCTATTGAAGGCACAGAAGAGGAGAGTCCCGTTATCAATTTTTTAACATCTGTTTCTCCGCTCGCATTATACTCGTAGAAACGGCTCAGAGTCGTTGAGGCGTTGAGTAAAGCACAAGCAATAGTGATTAATGGAGCTTGTGTGGAAAATGTTGGGTGGACGTGTACATTAAAGCCATGACGAGGCTGGAATTTGCTTCTTATTCGAACTTTCCGGTCCACCTTAAATGGGGACTGTAACTATGCGCCTTTTAAGGTGGAACGGGATATTCGAATAAGAAGTCAATTCCAGCCATGATGAGGCTGGAACTGTCTTCTTATTCTCCAGCTTCTTGATCGACTTTTTCCGGTCCACCTTAAATGGTGAATGCAACTAATGCTCCATTTAAGGTGGAACGGGAAATTCGAATAAGAAGCCAAATTCAGCGTCGCAAAACCTCGGTGTACAACGCTACACCAGAGGCGATGCGTCAGCAACTCGGCCTCCCAGCATCTATTTACACACTGGACATCGACCCCGCTCCTCCATTTCCTCTCTCTCACCCTGACAAATCATAATATGCGCATCTAAGCGTGAAACATTAGAGTTAAAGTAATGTGCCAAATACAACCACGAGCACAAAAGGCTGGTTACTCACTGTGAGCCCGGTGCCCAGTACGATCACATCATATTCCTCATCCATGTTGTATTGCAACGGAGCCTAGCGCAACCTCCCTCTTTCACCTGCAAGACCAAAAAAATCGTGCGAAAGGAAAACAGAGAGGTCACGCCCTTAGTTCGAATTAGACTCGTGCGAGGCAACCGTGTGTCTGTGAAAGCAGTGATTTAATGCTGTAAATGTGGTACAGGTTAGGATTTATTACTGTAGTTGTAGTGCGACCGGCGAGGACGACCAAAGATGGCCCTGGCCTTAGCACTGATTCGGGTAGCTCGGACACATTCGCGTCGTGATATAGTGCAAACTCCGCGTCTCTGTTTCAGCGGCGCGGTGTTCTAGTGATGACTGGGGAAAGTACGAATGAGGAGACATCGTAGATCATTTTAATAAGTCAAATATTAATGTGTGACAGGAGGTTTTCTATCATTTTCATTTCCCCAGTCTACTGCTGGGCAGGGCGCATCAGGCTGGAGGATCCGAGCGAAAGGTCTGTATCCTTCCGCCTACAACATTGTGGTGAAAGCTTCTCAGGGAAAGTGGTCCACTGATGATGATGATGATTTAGCTGTAGGTTGCAAATCATCATAGTGAGGTAGATCTACACATAACTAATAATGCTGTTGTCCTAGTAGCCCTTATTAAGATCCTATTCCACAGTTCTGTGTTATTTCACTGTTATTAACTAATCTTACCAATGCAATTGGATCATATAATAAGCTAATAATTCTACAACTTGCAGATGTCTTTATCATTCTTCAAGAATAGCCCCGGGTAACCTTTTGCCCATGAAGAGAAATCAATCTGGGATTTTTTTAATTCATTAGTTTTGGCAACATGGACAGGAAGTACATTTGCAGAACCATGGAACACGCAAACCAATACAAGTGATAAAAACAAACTGTACTTCTTTATATCGTTTTGTTTTACAAGGAGAGTTAAGTTCTTTGATAACATATTTCTGCTGTCTCGCACAGCGAGCCGGGCTGTAAGTTCAGCTGGAGATGAGGAAAGGAGATTCCTATAGCATGTGTTGACGGGCTGAGTGTCGTTCAGGTCGCTCCGTATTATTTAAAGCTCTGCTGCCGTTGCGAGCAGCGCGGCGCACTCAGAGGACGTTCATGAACGAATCGCGTCATCAGCTGCTCACATGACTGTCTGCTGGTTTCACGTGACACAGAACATGACGGAAGAAGTCGGTTGTCGGTCTGTTAGTGTCTTAAAGATGGCCTTTATTTCACTTTTATTTATCCTTATTTCGTTAAGTTCATGTAGAGCCCAAGTGCCGCTAATCGTGTGGACCAGCGAAGGGTGAGTAATGCATTTAACTGCCAGTGTAATGTTCTTTTATTGAGTTTGAACCTGAAGTGATGTCCTCTTATCCTTTTACTGTCGTTAAGGGTTTCGGCTACTAAGTTAGCTAAGTTAGCTACGGTAGTGGCGTTTACACTGATGAGGTGCATTCAGTTTACACATTTAAACTTTCTTCATATGTTCTGTGTTAGTTTAACTGTTGAGCACATCTTTTAAGCAAACCTCTATTATCGTACAGATAGATGTAGCTATAGATCTATAGGTCCAACTACCCCTCCATGCAACGAAATCAGTGATATAGCTACACAGAGTAGCAAGCTAAGCTGTCTAAGTTCTGGTGCTGTAACAATACCGATATTTTCTTTTTCGATGATTTTTTGATTATGAGGTCGAGATTCGATTCGATTTTTAATATTTAGTGTTCAACATATCTTAATTCTGCAGAGCTCTGATTCTGTTCTACGCCGAGTGGTCTAGTTCAGGAAAATACACATTTCGGAAAAGAAGACTGCAAAATAATGTGCTTCTGCAAAATAGTGATCTAATAAGAGTGTCACTTAGATAGAACCAATGCAAAGGGAGACGGGATGCACCCATTTGACTATAACTAGTTTCAACCACCATGGATTATATGTAAGCTGGAAAATAAGACCCTCAGAAGAGATGGGTTGTACTTATGAACATTTTTAATATACTCACATTTATGATACTGTATTGAAATTGGTACATTGGTATTTGTACATACAGAATTAACCTGTACAGAAATCGGTCGTTATTAGCCACAGGTTTCTATAGTGTAGTAAAGCCCTTTATGGCATTTCAGTCTTTTTACGCTTCAGCAATGCGTAACTATTAGTATTAGAAGAGAAGCGTCTCTCATTTTTAATTTTGATACCATGTAGCTTGGAAGGATGGTATGACTATGGTAGGATTTTATTGTGAGGCCTGTGTTTCCTACCTCTCTCTGGATGAACACAGGAACAAATTCATGTTCCTCAGGAACCCAAGCAGCTCTGTCTGATCGATCCATGGCCACTACAAGGACTGAATTTTAAAAATGAGCATGACTTGCTGGCACAGTTGTGACTCAATTCTATTTATAATTAATGGTTTAGAGAAATAATGGTACCTTTAGCTGATCGTAAACTTTTCTGCTGTTTATTTGATCTTCATAACACCTTAAATCTGGCTCTTAGCAAGTAGGGAACATGGACTAATACCACATTAAAATCAACAAAAGATGGCAAGTGTCCATCATTATAATATGATTGATGGGTTATGACTGCATAGTCTTTATTTTTGTGTTTACGTAAGACGTGTCGTTCAATAAGAGCTTTTCAACAGACTGGAGCAAATAAAGGACTTTATTATGTTGTGGGAAGTATAATAAAAATTATATAAGTACACAATGAGCACAGACCATCTCTCCACAGAAAATATTGCTTCCTCTTCACCTCAGAATTGAAAGAAGAAAGGAAAAGCACAGTCCTCCAAAGCATAAAACAGCTTAAAGTTAGCGGTAACTTGCGTCTAGCTCATTATTATTAAATATTGTTCTTTTATAATGTTAAATGCTCTAATTAACTGCAAATGTAAACTTTAACATGTCAAGCCAGGTTTTCAGATTTTCAGGCACTCCTTATTACTGCTGTATTGAAAAATATATTAAATCAATACATCACTGTTTAGTATCAAACAGAATTATACATTTTGCAAATTATAACCCCCCTGCTCCTTAGACATAAAAACATTTGTGTTTGACAAGGGGTGCCCAATCCAGTTGTGCGTACTTGGCTTATGGTTAAACCAGTACTGACAAGTACAGTACTAAGAGCTTCTCCTTTTTTTTTTTGGTGTAGACTATTAAAAGTTGCAAACAATGACTAATCATGTTAGCTGAAACTAATAACGGCAAACTTTAAAACCATTCTTAGTGTTTACTAAGTGCTGTGTTTTTAATCCTAGGAACAGTTTGCCAGCACTGTCTGAGCCATCAGCCGGTGAGATCGTCTCTGGTGGGAAGCTGGTATCCTATCTGAAATCTGCCTTGACAACTTCGCCACACAACGTGGTGCTCTTTCTGCAGGACAAGGTGAGTTCAGCCTCTCTGATTCATCAGCGTGGACATTTTAAACCGTATGCTGGTCTGATCCTCTCAGTGTAGTGTGACTCTGAGCTGGAGTGTGATTCTCACTTCCTCTTCCAGTTTCCATGGGCCATGCCAGAATTGTGTCACACTACAATGTCTAGCACTTCGTCCTTGTTCACACTTGGTATTAACGTCTATGTCAAGAGACCTAATTAAAAATGGACATCGAGACATATGGCCGTTTATACTTGGTATCGAATGTGTCTCTTGTCCCCGATTACAACTGGATTTCATCACCATAGGAATAGTACTGTGCACATTTACTCCATCTTTCTCTTCCTGCATTTGTTGTTGGACAAATATGTCATGTTATTGTGCATGTAGGGACTATTACAAACGTTTAGATTGCAAAAACTGCCAACACAACTTATAAACAAGTGGGGGAGGAGATGAACAGACAGTTCTGCAGTTCCTTTCATCTCCGCTGTGATGACAGTTGATTAGGCAGACTTTTGTTGTTGCCAGGTGTTATGTATGTCTGACCACCGGCGGTTTGAGTAGTCGAATTACAGTGCGTCTCTGAGATGCATTGAACCCCAATCACACCTGTACTTAGTGCTGTCCACTTATGACGGGATCACCCAGGATGTATGTTAATGCCAGTTGTAAATGGGGCCTTTAAAGAGGTGGTCGGTATAGTTCATGTATATGTTGAAAAGTAAAGGCTCATGGTGGTTCTTTTCCACAGTGGTCTATGCCAGGATTACCCAGTCCTGGTCCTTGAGTTTGTCTACACTCATGCATAAAAACTTGTCGCATTTTGGCAAAATTTGTTTTTAATGATGAACATGCCATTCACATAAATCATGTAGATCTAATGAGGTTTTTAGTTTTGGGAAGGGGAAGGGGGAGGGGGAGGTCTACTACGGAGAATCCCTCCTCTCCCTCAAATACAGCATAGCTGGTCATTATTTGGCCAACCCACAGTTAATTTTTATTGACCAGCGCTAAGACTACCTCACCAAAACATGAACTTTTCATTTTCACATATTCTGCTTTCTTTCTTAAGTAGCTGTTAAATACTGTGCAAAAAAGGCTAATATGTACGTAAATTATCATTGTTAACAAACAAGACAGTTGCTTTCAGTTAATTTGCATCTAAAACTGATGTAGAGCATATAGATTTCTGTGGACTATTGTAACCCCTACGAGAGCTTAACGACTGTCCACTTTTACACTGTAATTGCACTGCAAATGGCTATTCTAGGGGTCCAGTATGTACCATTATGGAGCCAGTAGAACACAAATGATGCATTTAGCAATCAGAGATTTTAGAATATGCTTGGTTTATAATGGATGAAGCATCTCAAAAGGAGATGTCTGCCAAATCTGTACTTTTGACCTTTGTATGGTAAGAGATTTATTACAAAAAAAGTCCAAAATATCTACAGAAACTACAGGGAACTGGTTTTTGAACTTGTCATCTTTTTATTGCTCATCAGTTTTTATGTACTACTAGACTTTTATGTACACTATTTAAATATCCAACACACTCATTTCAAACTCTTGAAGGGCTTGCTAGTTTAGTGTGTTGGTGAGGAAACACTAAGGGTCAGTTTCCCAGACAGACATAAAGCCTACTCCTGGACTACATTTTCCTTTTAATGGAGAATCCCCTTTCAGAATAATGTCCAAGACTAAGCTTAATCCCTGTCTTGCGAAATCGAGATTAAAACACCCACAGGGTTATTTGACGACCAAGATTGGGAAAACACTGGTCTGTGCAACTTCCTATTAGAAAGCTGTCACAGTAATAACATGAAGCATAAAAAAGTTACTGAATGCAGAACTGAAGTTTGAAAGAAAGACCATTGTCTGAAACCCTTCCTCCATCCTGTCCCACTACCTGTGTATTCCAGTCTCTCCTTTCTGTTTCCTGTGAACATTTACAGCTCCTCTCTTCCATAACAGGTTGAATTTATGGTCTGCACTTGCAAATTCTGCTTTTAAACTGCTTTTAAACTTTGCTTTCTGTTTTTTAAGGATATAATGTTGCCATTGGCACAAATGTTTTCTTAACCAGCATATATTAAACTTTTTTTTCGCTCTTCTCTGTAGTTAAGCATAGATGATTTCACCGTGTATGGTGGGGTGTTTGGGAACAAGCAAGACAGCGTCTTTGTGAACTTAGAGGTGAGTCTAAAATGTACTTTTTAAAAAGTTTAAGAGGCCCATATCATGGAAAACCAATTTTTTTTTCAGTTTATGAAATAAGAGTTTGGTGGAGTTTATAAACACTATGTATGTCCTTATATGGAAACTAACCTGCAAAAAACAGTTTGAATTAAATCTTTTTGTTATGTCATGAAAACCAAGGCAGTTTAGCCCTACCCATTTGTACTGAAGTTATAAGGAGTGTTTCAGCCTGGACTGCTCTTTGAATGAGGCCCAATACAAGGCAGTCAATCACTCATAGGTCAATTACATATATCAGTCTTAAAGGTACAGTAACAAAACAGCTTTTTTTAATTCCAAGAGATAGAGAGGTTGGAAAATAGTCATGTTAAAAAGTAATTATGAATTATTAATTGTGTTTTTGGTACATAAAACCACAACATCACACGCTATATGGGTAGAAGTATGTGGATACCCCTCCTAAGTATTGAGCTGAAGTGTTTTTAGCCATCCATTGCTAAGAGGTGTATAAAATCAAGCATGTAGTCATGCACTCTCCTTAAACAAACATGGACAGTAGAGTGGGTCATACTGAAGAGCTCAGTGACCTTAAAGATGCCATCTTTGCCACAAGCCAGTTTGTGAAATTTCTGTCCTGCTAGATCTGCCCCAGTCAACTGTAAGTACTATTATTGTGAAATGGAAGCATCTATAAGCAACAACAGCTCAGCCACGAAACGGTAGACCACGTAAACTCACAGAGGGAGGCCACCGAGTGCTGAAGCACGTCCACCATGCTGTCTATACCTAGCTTGCATAATATATGTATGTAAAGTCTCTTTTATCATTGCAGTAGACCAGCTAGAGCATTATTTTAAGCTTTCTGAGGTAAATAGGAGAACCTCCCTGTCCGCATGTTTTGTATTCCAGTCAGCATTGGAGACCTCTGCTCACCTGGTGCTGCCAGCTCTGGCCTGGTCTGCAGCCAAGTCAGTGGAGGAACTCTTCCAGGAGGAGCTTGGGATTCCAGCGCTCCACATTGAACCAGCAGGGCTCGCCCAACTTCAGCTGAGCTCATCACAGCCTTCTCTTCTGGTTATCAGCCTCCCCCACACCACTGGGTAAAGACTGTTATTTTACAAGAAGTGAAATTATTACCTGATGTTATCTGTGATGAGGTGAAGCTTGTGGTTTTGCTTCAGAACGGTTATTAGACTTACTTTGCCTCTGTCTTCACTCTCAACCAGTTCTAAAGCCATTATTCATTAAGTGTAGGTTGAGAGCAAAGATCCTTACAATGGCCTGCAATGCACTAATAAGCACTTTAATCTAAAACTGCAATTTTTCCTTCATCTCTTATCTGGAGTATTATGTTTGAAGCTTGTGCTGTTTTTGTAATGCCTTCCATGTGACCTGATGGTTAAGATGCTATTACTTTATATAAGCTAAAACACCAAACATTATTGTGGAAAGCAAATTTCAGAATGTATTTTTTTGGCTTTATTTGGCAGCACCCAGTCAAAGGAGCCTCTTAGGAAAAATGGTGAGTTGTTTTTATATTTCTCTGTTTTTTTTATTATTAGATTAAATGTGGTTATTTTTAATATTTTTTTTACACAATATTCTGAATATCATACTTTATTAGTCATTCTTATGTACATACATTGAGGGGAAACTAGTATTTAAACCCTTTTGTTTTTTATTATTCGTCCAGTGCTAATGTTCCTTTCAGTTTTATACGTCTTTTGACTTTGTACCTATACATATACACAAAAAAATATATTTCAAAAATATAAATATGTATTCAAGAGCATAAATAAAGATAGATTTAAAGGATAAAAAACACCACAAATAAATAACATTTGTATTTTATTGCAACGCCATTGTGGAAATTACAGCATCAAGACGTAATTAGCTTTTTTGGAGCATTTTGATTCAGCTTCTGGCTATTCATTTTCAATTTCACAAGTTTATGATGGCCCTCTTTTGGACTTGCAAAATACTCCACTAATATGTCCTGGTATATCATTCCATTCATGATTCCTTCAGTAGCATGCAGTGCCCCAGTACTGTTTGCACTGAAGCAGCCTTCACCTTTGATATGATTGCTGCTTGTTGAGTGTCATTTTCACTTTTTGAACCTTTTTTTATGTTTATGTATACTTTTTGGCTCATATCAGTCAGTACAAAGACCTTATCTGTCTGTGTCTGAAATACTTTATTGCCTTTACTGTATATATAGTTGTGCACTGTATATACTAAATGCCCTCTTTGTAGATGAGACCATTGGGGACGTCCTGACTTTACTGAAATCCCGGGGTGTTCCTTACACTGCTGTTTACACAGGCCTGAGGCCTTCCCATGTAAGCATCACACCGGATCATTGAACACACTCGTGGCCACAAAACTGGACATGTTTTAAAGTTTGCTAATTTGACGAAGCACAGTTCACTTAATTTTATTGGAATCTAATCAACAGCTTAAACAGATGCTCAGTACACATTAAAATTGTTTATCATACCATCCTCTATAGGTGACCGAGGACACCCCCATATCCAACACTAGAGGATTCTCGGGACGCTCGCTGCTGCAGACGCTGTCAGCTGTCAAGCCACCAGTGATTTTCAACAGCACCACAAGTGGGCCATGTATTCTGTTTTGGGCTGATCGTCTAAGTGTGGCCCATGAGAACGAGCCCCCAGTCGACCTCGCCCCCCTTACTTTCAACAACACCATCAACCTGGCTGGATCCTTCTGTAATGAAACAGTTTCAAGGTAATTACATTTGGTCTGTATTGCCAGTTTCAGAATGTTTGTTTAGCAAGTCTATAAATGTTTTACTAATTGAGCTGTTATCTTTTCCTAAAAATATATTTTTTTCTAGTTTTCAGAGTGTTTAAATGCAGTTTTTTGGGGGAAATGTGTGCAAAATAAGAATACAAGAATACATTTTATTTTCTACATCCAAAATTACACCCAGTTTTTGTTTAAAATTATTATTTACTCCTTAACTAGGAATCCTAGTGTAATAGCTAGGATTATTTCCATTCTAGCATCGGTTACTTGTTTTCCATACCTGAGAAGGAGCAACGTGGAATGCAGTGATGTACTGTACTGTGCAAAAGTCAGACCACCCTTAAGCTACAGTCAAAACAGCTATTAAGGAAAAGTTATGCATTTTTAGGAGATATTTCTGTGGACATTAGATATAAGATAATGCACTTTCATAAGGAAGCAGAAGGTTAAGAGAAAATAAGTGAGTTTAAAAAAAAGTATTCTTAAAGTTCTAGAGAAAACTGGGACTCCTGATAACTGTGCAAGACCACCAAAACTGTCACCATCAGATAAACAGTACTTAAACAACTCAGTGCTATGGGTCTGAAAGGATGTGCAGTTGTGAAGAAGCTGTTACCGAGAAAAGAAAATAGACAAAAAAAAAGATAAATTACCAATTTAACAAAGAATCTGCTGGTGTTCTTTGAACAATTGCCTGACTACCCCAGAGTCCAGACCTCAGCATCACTGAATGTGTTTGGGATTACTTGAATCATGAGAAGCACAAAATGTAACCAACTTATAAAACTGAACTTTGTAGATGTGGAAAATGTCCCTGCAAGAGAATGGAAGTTGTGGTTACGGCCAAAGGTAGGCACACAAAATAGTGAAAAACATTATATGTAGTTGTCGAGGCTGCTGTGTAATTTTCTGTAAAATACGTTTTGATTGGAAATTACATAAATTAATGGCTCTGACTCTTGCTGTACTGTACATGCATTAGAAATATATCACCACACCATTCAGACATGCAGTAAATTAGTCCCAGTGACGTTACATGTGTTCCAGAAACTGTTGGAGAATGTAACGTCATTCAGTTGGTGCCATATTACGATTTCTAAAAGCAGATTACCTTTTTCTGTTCCTTATCAAAGTTTTGGTTGGTAAATTTTATAGCATATCTTAAAGCTTACATTTTGCATTTTACATATGGTACTTTACAAAAATATTCTGTATGTTCAGCCAAAATAAATCGTTAAACAAGATTGCACTGTACAGTTTTAGATAGACAGACTGATCCCAGGGGAAATAACATTGTTACAGCAGCAATTACATACACAGCTGAACAAAATAAACATGTAAGTATCCACCTAAAGGAAAAAGTTGTTAGGGGGTCTCAGATAGAGGTCTTGAGGTCTCAGCTATATCCAAATGTACGAAGATATTATAAAGGGCACTTGAATTATAAATTAGTGAGTAGTGCGAGAGAAAATTGACTGAAGTAGCATGAGGTAGTTTCCATATAGAGCAGCAGTGGTTATACATTATAGTGCTAGTATAGAGCAAGTTAAACATGACTAGTGTTAAACATACCAGTTTAGCAGTAGGAGATCTGTACAGCCAGAGGAGGTACATCATTTCAGCCAGAATTTAATAAAATTGCTAGAAATGAATAAAAATGGCCAACAATACATCACAATTTTTTTTCACTCATTCTTTCATCATTTAAGCCGCTTATACTCCTGGGTCATGGGGGGTGCTGGAGCCTATCCCAGCGCTCAGGAAGCACCCTGGATGGGTCGCCAGTCCATCACAGGGCAGACACATGGATATACACATTCACACTCAGAGAGACACACACACACACACACACACTTGGGGGCAGTCTAGTATTACCAGTCGGCCTAACTGCATGTCTTTGGAAAATTGTGATCACAATTTTGACATACTGATTTTCTTTTCCCCCCAGACTTGTCCTGAACTATAGAAATGTTCTAGGTTTCCAATCCTTCCAGGTCATGTGAGTATTCAGAACATTCGCTGGTGTACATTATTGCTCCTTCCTACATCAGAGTGACGCTGTTTGCCCTACACTGTCTGAATTTTTTATCTGCTGATCTCCAGCTTCACAATGCACAAGATCTTTTTCCCTGTGTCCGCTCGTAACTGGATGGTCATGGAGCATGTGGAGCTGAACTACGATGGCCAGACAGCCCTCTTTAATGGCAGTCGTGGCATCAACACTCCTGCTGAGTATTCCTTCCACTGCCAGAGGGTGAGCAACACTGAGAGCCCACTGCTGGTACCCAGCTCAGCTACGGACAACGCTACCCAGTGGACGCTGCTCTTCACAGACTTCCAGGTACGTTTCACAACGTTGACACCATTCTTGTCAGCAGATACTTCTAATTAGCAGATAGATAGAAACTGAGGATCCTGAAGGAAATTGCAGGATTGCAGCAGTGACAAAACATAGTGGTGTGTGTTGCGCTGATACAAGTGGATCAGACCCAGCAGTACTGCTGGAGTATTTAAACACCTCAGTGTCACTGCTGAACTGAGAATAGTCCACCAAAAATATCCAGCCAACAGCTTCCTGTGACCACTGATTAAAGGACTAGAGGGTGACGGATGAGCTACTGTCTCTGACTTTACATCTACAAGGTGGACCAACAAGGTTGTATAGTTCTAATGGAGTAGACAGTGAGTGGATACAGTGTTTAAAACCCCAGTCGCACTGTTGTGTCTGATCCACTTGTATCAGCGCAGCACACCCTAACATACCACCACCACATCAGTATCACTCAAATAATACCTGCTCTTATTGAAGAACAGGGTAAAAGGGGGCTAACAAAGTATGCAGACAAACAGATGGACTGTAGTCTGTAATTGTAGAACTACAAAGTGCACTTATATAGTAAGTGGAGCTGATAAAAGGGACAAAGTGAAGAAGAGGGTTTTAATGAAGTGGCTAGTTAGTATGTATACATACATGTAATCTTTGAGTAATCTCTGGGTAGAATCAGAGAACCCATTCAGGCTGGCAGTTTTTTTTTCCTGATTCAAAGGACTTGTATTATGATCTCTTGTATTTGGACACTGTTATAGAGTGTTTAAGAAGCCACACCCTGTCTCCAGAACCTAATCTTCTTTTAAAGCAGGGGCTTTGTGCTTTGCCAGTCATGGCAGTGTACCAGTGGGCAGATCAGCAAAACAATCAGGCATTTGGCTTACAAAAAGCATTAATGCCACTCTGTTATACGCAGCAGGGTTGGGACACTAACTGCATTGTTATTTGCAGAGACTGCTTAGTGTGTTTTTAGTAATTCTTTTTCTTTTCCAATACTGATGTCGGAACCTTGATTATCGGCTGGTACAGATACTGATCTGAAAACTGCTCAGCTTTAAAAATATTCAGTTGAAGCACTTCACTTAAGATGAGCATCTAAAAGTAAATGGTCATGCTCAAACTACTCAAACACTACTAACCAAAAAAGTACACAGCTAACATCTCTTCACAGTGCAGCTGTGCTATTTCAGGATAGATTTGTTACAAGATTGCATCGAATTCATTTTTTATGTACAATATCTGACCTTGCATTTTCTGCTGATGTCAACCAAAAACCGATATCAGTACTGACATGCCATTTTTGATTGAGTATTCTTAACTATTCTACCACCTTTTGTAGTTCTTGAAGCAGAAAACTATGAACAGAAAATAATACATTATAATATCAGATTTTTCAGTATTCAGTGTTTACCGTTTGCCTTTATTACAGCTTCCATTCTTCTCTGGAGACTTGCTTTTAGTTTTTCCAAATAAATCAGCCAAAAGTTCACTCTTAGAAGTTGGTTGCATTTTCTGCTTCTCACGATTCTCAAACGCGTTCAGTGATGTTGAGGTCTGGACAGTCCATTTTCCTGAGAGCATCAGCGGCTTCTTCTTGTTGTTTGTCTCTTTCCTTTTCTCAGTAAGGGCTTCTTGACAGCTACACACCCTTTCAGACTCATAGTGTTGAGTTTCAACTCACACAGTGGAGGGATGGACAAACAAAAGTACAGACACAAATGCTAATTAAGCATACTGATTAGTACACCTCCCCTATTTATAAGACAGCTTAGCGTGTAGTTGCAGAGTGTGCTATAGCTAAATGAATGTATGTGCATTTGTTTTTTAATTACTGTAGCAACCTCCTTACATTGTGCATGTACCAGCAGTACAGCTGCATTGCGTCATGTTCTTTAGCTTCACATATACACTCATTAGCTACTTTATTAGAAATACTGACCTTGTAGATCCACCTTGCTGGTGAAGAGTTAAAGACAGTAGCTCATCTGTGATTATGAACAATTCTCTACCCCATCATCAGTACTCAGTTTCAGACCACAGGGCTACTCTTAGCTGGATGTTTTTGAGATTGTGGATGTACAGTACTTTGTAAAAGTCAAAGACCTTTTTTATTTATTTGACTTCCAGCCATTACATACAAGTTATTCAATTTCCAGGAGATGTTTCTGTGGAGATTAGATTAGATGGAAAAAACACTAGTTTGCAAAACTGAGTTTAAAAAATGAGTAAAAGTCCTAGAGAAAACCTAAGACTCATAAGAAATGTGCAAGACCTGGTAGACCACCAAAGCTGTTCCCCTCAGGTAAACAGCACTTTATGCTTTCATCTTTGAGAAATAACAGGCATTTATTTGCATTCTTCCACACCAAAGGTCTGACAGGATTTGTAGCTGGTGAGAAAGTGTTACTGAGAAAATAAAATGGACGAGAAAAGAACATTTGCAGATCAAACAAAGAAGCTGCTGGAGTTCTCATAACAATGGACTGATCACTCCAGAGTCCAGACCTCAACATGTTGAATGTGTTTGGGATTACTTGGATCTTGAGAAGCAGAAGTGCAACCAACTTCTAAGACTAAGCTTTGAAAGTTTGAAAGAATATCCCTGCAGATTTCTTTGAAAAACAGAAAGCAAGAATTCTGTGATGACCCGTCCTCACATATACATACAAGTATTCTGTTTTGACTGGTAAATACATAAATGAAAGGTGATCTCTGCCTTTTGCACAGTACTGTATGTAGGGCTTCACGTCATGAAGGCAGTACCCACCAACTATATACAACCCCCAACCAAGACTGTAACTTTGATGTGCAAAAAACCCCAGCAACATCGTTGTGCCTGGTACTCTTGCTCCATTGCCAGAGTATCAGACACTATCAGTGTCCCTGCTGTGGCTCAGAAAGGTCCATCACCCAAATCAAATCTAGTCAACAGCAGTCCTGTGGTCAGAAACTGACAAATAGTGAATGTAGAAGGTAGAAGGCAACTGGTGTGTAACTGGCCTGTAATTGTACATCTACAAAGTTGACCTATATGGTTGCTGATTTCTAATAAAGTGGATGATGAATGTATTTCTGTATGTTCACTTGACTGATAATGGACATGCAGTGATTCTGACATTTCAATAAACAGATCCAGAGCTTCAACGTGACGGGGAATTTTGCATACGCCAGTGACTGTGCCAGCTTCTTCACGCCGGGTATCTGGATGGGGCTGCTGACCACTCTGCTCATGGTCTTCATCCTCACCTATGGCCTCCACATGATAATGCAGCTGCGCACCATGGACCGCTTTGATGACCCCAAAGGCCCTGCAATTTCAGTGCCTCAAAACGAGTAACTTGGGCCTCCTGGGGCATTCAGCATTCATCAGCTTTCATCGTCAGGTTTTTTTCTTGTTTGTTTATTTGTTTATCTGTATAAGAAGCCTGTTTCCTCATTCCTAGTTGGTATCTAAGATTTCATTCTGTAGCTGTAGCTCACAATAGGAGTTTTTAGATGTTTTAGAGAGTTTAGAGAATTTCCAGGGAAAGAAACTAAATAATAACTGTAGTGACTGTACATTAGCACTGTTTTTTTTGTTTGTTTGTTTGTTTTTTTAAAATCAGGATTTCATCTTCAGGGCTCTATCCACTACAAGTACGTTCTCTGATGTACAGCTCATATTTTCAGCTTTCAGCTCTGCTCTGATTAACAATAGTAAGATCTCATCTCACCTTCCCCTTTATCTTGAATGATGGACCCAGCGCAAAACAACCTGTAATTTTGATTTTATTTTCCTGACAAACTTGCTTTATACAGTGCTAAAACCGCTATGTGTTTGTAGTAAAAAAGGTGTTATCTGCCAAGATGTAATCGTACCAAATGTGCTACTGAAGTGCCCTTTTAATAGTTTTAAAGCATTTTCTTAGACTACTGAAGTGCCCAGATACATTTAAAGTCAAAGCCATTAGAAAGTGCCATCTATCACTATGTGCCTGTGGTTAAGTCATTAATGACCTTAAACTGTGCTGTAATATTAATGCAGCATCCTGTGTTATGTTATGCTAGTTTCTCTTCCAGATGTCTTTAACAGGAGATGTTGGCCAGAAACTTTCCCAGACTTTCACTTATGTTCATGTTCTTTCTTGTTATTATTCATTTTCTTTTTTTTTTTTCAGAAATTCTGACTTTCTTTTGCCTGAGTATTTCTCAGTGTGATCCAACAGGCTGATGCCTGTGTTGTCATCTCTGCCTAATAATTTACTCTTGGTTTATGTGTAAATTAAAGAATGGCTGGTAATTTAAAAGAGATATGTATATTTGTGCCATTTTAAGTGCTCTTGTTATACTGTATGGACCTGAACAGTGATTTTTCCAGGGTGATATTGAACAGATTGTTTAGTAGGCTTGACATCTTGCTGTGAGAATGATCATGTGTATGACTGAGTATGAAATAAAGCTATTTATATGTTTAGTCTGTTTGAAGTTAAATGTGCAGGTTAAATGATCAGAGGAAGGCTTGGGGGGGGGATAAAAAGGAAATGCGGTTGCAGTGAAATTCAATGTAAACAAAGACTTTGAGTGGTTTGGTGTGACATGGTGCACTGCAGAGAAACTTCCTGACTTTTCTTTAGTGGTGGTGGACAGGATTGTGTTGCGATATGTGTAGCCTTTTATTTATTATTTAAAACTACCAGTTATCCTTTGTCTTCTGTCTTTCTGTATGTAATGCTGATGATGGTAATAGTGGTAAATTTGGAAAATCAGTTTTCTTTTGTCTTACTTTGCCATGTATGAACCTCCTCACCATTAATATGTTTTAAAAATAAGTTTTCAAGTAGACTTGTCACAATAATTATATAACTATTTAAGCTGACTGCAGTCATTAGATGTCAGTCATATGCTGCAACAAATAAAATGTGTGTGTGTTGGGTCGAGTCAAATGAGTGTAAATTAAAGAAAGTAGTAAATGCATTCATTAAAACATTGTGAGGCTTATATGAAAACAAAGTTCTAACTTCTAACCTGGTGCTCTAACATGTTTAGAGGGCAGCACTGAGTAATGTTTATTTGTTAGCAATGTTGCTTTTTACTTCTATTTTCACTCTCGTGAAGAGCATGTAGCTTTGCTTAACCCTGCACAGGATTCTGTGTGACTGTAGATGTGAGTGTGCTTGATTGATTCAACAGTACAACCAGTGTTGTACTACCAAAGGAAAAATAGTAAATAAAGTGGCTTATGAGCCAATTTGGCCAATACAGGCTTGTATTTTAACAGGTGCAAAAGAAGACAATTGAATCACAATTATTTATCTGACAAGTAATCATTTCAAACTTCATGATTGCGACAGCCCTAGTTTCAAGCTTATCTCAAAATTATCGTAAATCAATGCCTCAGGCATTATGCAGCCCATCATAACCATTTTGTGTAATAACTTGCTGTGAGGAAGCTTTAGAGGCATTAAATGCTTTGGATGTCTGGTTCCTATCACCATCACTATGAACAATTTTGACCACTCTGAATGACAGTCTACATTTTACTTTCATTCATCAGAAATGTTGGGGAAGAAGGGGCAATGAACAAAATGCCACTTTAGGACCAGTTGGCCCTAACTTCACTTGACTTCACCCACAACTCTTTGAGCTATGTATGTTTACTGTGAATTTACTATGGTGTACATTAATACTGTGATTTAGTGTTACATTTTTGTTGGTTTCAGAATCCAGTCCTGTGCAGATGTGCAGATGTACTCATTACTGTTTTAGTTCCATGTTTTTATGGAGAATTTTGAGCTGCACTTCTCTGGGTGATGAAACATCCTTTACACAAAGTTTATTCTTACAAGTTTCCTGGGTTGGGCACGCCCTTTTGTCATATTTCCGATCATGTGACAAACATAGACTTCCTCAACGAAGGTACACAGAGGTGCTTCAACTAAATTATACTATTCTGCTGTATTTTGTAAGGTCATTTCACAGTTGCCTTGCCCTCATGTGACATGGCCTACTTCTTAACTCTGCACAGACACTTAAAACACACATACACCTTATACCACTGTTTATGCCAGTTCATTGAAATATTGTCTGTATAGTCGTGTGTTTAATACTTAGAGGTTGAACATGATTTACTTTAATTTGCATATTGGCCCGATGACTTCAGCAGTCTATGGTTGGACACACCCCTTCATAACTGAAAATTATAAACACATACAGTACCACCAGTCATGTGACAAACACAAATCCCTCCTTTCATGAGACAAGTGTGTTAAATTAAGTAAAAAGGGTCCATGAAATTTTAGTCACACAATGACTGAAAAGTGTTCTAAAACTCTTTAAACTCCAGAGTAGCATCTAAGTACATGCACACATCTTTCCACAGGACAGGCTGATACTCTCAACAACTCCAGTCATTTTCAGCCAGCCGTTCCACAGTAACATCCTCATTTGTCATAAACGCATGACTGATGGATCATCCGGTTGTAAAACAAGTCTGCCTTCATAGAGTACTTCAGATGAACTAGATAGCATGGGGATTGGGCTACTTCTGGCAAACACATGGAACTGCTGGCTCGCTGTCAGCAAACTGCCTGTGTGCCAGAACTGGCCCACATGTCCTATAACTGATCTGGGCACTTCTAGCAAATACACATGACTACGCTCAAAAAAGAAGGTTCTTCAGGGGTTCTATATTGAACCACATACAACACATTCTCCATCAATCTGATGAACTACTTTACCATTTAATCATGCAAATGGTTCTTTGTGTGTTCACAGTTCTATATAGAACCATTTTTTAAAGAACCCTTAAAGCCCTGTGGACCCTTTTTAAAATTGTACGCAAAATACACAGTCCAACATAGTCTGTCTCACACTAGATTTAAAATTTTGTGAACTGAATATTTTAATATTGAATTAACATTCTGGCACCCAGATTTGGACAAAGGCATCTCTATTATTCTTCGGTGGTATGTGAGCCGAATGAATGTAGTATGTGTGGGTCAGAGCTGGGCTATCACTTGTTTGCTGTCAAGTTAGTGAGTAAATCATGTTTGGTGCAAAAACCTACACATTTGGGGGGTGGGGGGGGGCATGGAAGACTAGCTTCCTTAAGGTTTTTCAGAGTACAGTTGTGCAAAGAAACTAATTACTGAGTTCATGAACAGACATCTGGTCGACCACAGAAAAGGGGAAAAAAAAGGATTTCTGCTAAAAAAAAAGCTGCACTATGTAAGAATTGTTAAAATGGAAAGAAACAACATTACTGAGTCAGGTGGGGGGAAAATATTGTGTCTGTGCACAGCTGTGATTGTCCCTGTAAAGCCTGAAATAATCATTTCAAGGTCAGAGGTGTTGCGATAAATTTCACGGCTCAATGTTTATGCAAAATCAACATATTGGTGCTGTCGGAACAAAACCTTGTATCTCCACTGTTGTCGTTTTTCAGTTTTTTTTTATTTTTATTTTATTTTTTTTACATAATTTGAAAGTGCCTGTTGTCCTTTACATTGTGTAAATTGCATGATGGACCAAAACAAATGGCCCAAAACGACTTGGAAATAAGTCTGGTTCCATTGGCTTACATTAAACGTAAAGTAGGTTTTGTCCTTCTTCTGTAAAGTTATAACATATCTTCCCTCATATGTTTCCCATTTAACAGAGGATACGAATGTAGAAGTGATGCCATCTTTGACTTCTTATTCTATGAATTTATTCAGCAGTGATATTTAGCTTAAAAACAATATCAATCATAATAATAATAATAATCATAATAATACCTTCAAGGCTATATGATAATACAGGCAGTGCAGCTGCAAACTGAACATAAAGTTAACACTTTAAACTTATACATCACAAAAACTGCATCTAATACAGGAAACAGTGAGGGTGTTTTCACATGTGAAATCAAAGGCACAAGTGAAATCTGAACAGAAACTGAACTACTCTGTGGAACCTTCACTAATGTAGAGCACAGAGAACCACGTTTCATTCCTGAAAGCACTCCAAGAGAGTTTATCCTACTTTTAAAGCACAGTTTCAGATCACTAACTCATTCAAGACATTAGGGTATACAGGTAAGACTGTTTTACAGAACAAGCCTGTGGCAAATTTAATTTCTCAAACGTAAGTAAGACTGGCACAATGAACATAATTTTTTTTTTTTTTGGTTAAATCTAAACTTGGATACATGCAGAATCTATTGCAAAAGGCTATGCGCCTGTCTGAGTATAGCTTTATCTGTACAAAAAAAATCAAGAGAACCACAAGCACGACAGAATCCAGTAGTAGTTGATTGCGCATAGAAGGTCGCCACTAAAAAGGACAGGAGTGACAGTCAATTCTTGCGGGATTAAACGGGATATCCACCAATATTTCACCGATAGTTCTACAGAGACAGGACTGTTCACAGTGGTGGTGACAGGAGCCAGATGTTTAAAGCTTTTGATGCTAAAGGTATTATATGAAATGGTTATAAACACACTGTCTGATGTCTTTACCATTGTTTCAAGACAAAGCCTGAATTTTACAGAAACTTTGGGGAAAAAAATGGTGGAAATCCACTTTAAACCATAGTGATTTACTTTATGAAGACTGAAAAATACCCACTCTTTTCTTAAGATTGATCTGTTTCCAATGTTTTACAAATAATAAATATAAACAGAATACATAAAATCCTTTTCATCTCTGAACGCACATTCTTACATTGTTATTTTACAAAACTCAGTGCAAGAGATGCAACTTAATCCCCAACATCAGGTTTTAACATGGAAAAAAAATGTGACAATCTAGGCCAAAATCAGCTGTGACTTTTCTTTGATCAAATCTGCAGGAGAGGAATTACTGTAGGGGTTAAGCACAAATAATTCAGGTGATACCGCTTTGAAAGCACTCTCACCTCTTCTTCATAAACTCGAATCCAGTTCAGATCAGTATGGACAAAAAGGCTAATTTCTGAGAGACAGATTAAACATAACAATCTAGAGCAAAGTGCACATTTATGTTTAATCTGTATCGCAGAAAACGGACACTAACGATCATGAATAAACTAGAGAAGTTGTCCTGCTGAGCTTGCGAGCATCCGTGGAGCAGCCGAAGAGTAAATCCACATCATTCATGTAAGGCATTCCTCGAACTTATGAAAGCAGGAGGACGCTAAGGCTTGGAATGAGGCAGAGTATGATCCACAGATCTAAAAAAAAAAAAAGTCATTTTAAAAACACATGATGTGAACATTTTGGACAAGCGTGTTTCCATGCGCTGTGAATTAGAAGCTTGTAGCAGGTTAAGAAGGTCAGATTAATAGCCTTTGACAAACACTTCTCCAAAAACGGCTGCCTGTGAATTATCCTGCACACTTATGCATATGTATAGTATTGCGCAAAAAGAGAGACCACTCTTCATTTACATAAAATCCAGTCAAAATTAGCCACTAAATCATTTCTTCTTCAGGAGACATTTCTGAGGAGATATCAGATAATCCAAAAAATGAAGTGAAATCACAGGAGTTTCCAAAACTGGAGTTCAAAAAGTGATTAAACATTATAGAGAAAATGTGACTAACAACCACGGAAGATCTGGCAAACCACCAAAACTCTCATCAGATAAATAGCACTTTAAGCCTTCATGCTTGAGAGATCAGTGATAATAAAGCTCCACTCCACAAGTGTTTCTGTCCATTCTTCCACTGTCAGAAGACAACTCAACACTATGAGTCTGAAAGGATGTGTAGCTGTCAAGAAGCCCTTACTGAGAAAAGTAAAAAGACAAAAAGAAGAAGCTGCTGCTGTTCTTAGTACAATGGACTGACCAACCAAGAGTCCAGACCTTAAAATCATCGAATATGTTTGGAATTATTTGGATGGTGAGAAGCAGAAAATATGGAAAAATGTGGAAAATATCCCTGCAAATTTCTTTGAAAAACTGAAAGCAGGTCTCCCAAAAAATTGAAGCTGTAATAAAGGCAAGGTGTGGACACTAAACACTGAAAACACAAAAACTCATTTGTTGTGGCTTCTGTGTAATTACCTGTTAAATATGTTTTCTGTTTATTTTCCTGATGCTGAAAATTAATAACTTTTGACTGGAAAGTAAATAAATGATTAAATAAAGGGTGGTTTCTGATGTTGCACAGTGCTATATGCCTTTGTACTATGAGACTATAAAACCATAAATACCAGTCACTACGATTTATCAGACTCGTTTTGTGACCTACTAAAAATCACAAGACATTCCAAGTTTCACTACCATTCAAACGTTATTCAGCACTGACTTTGCATTGCTAAAAGATTCATCAGCTAAAAACCTCAAAAATTATTTAAGAGAGAATGCATGAACACAGACTGAAAATGGACTGAAATCAAATGAACAAGACAATTCATCTGTTATAGTAATGAGGGCAAGTCACATGAGCAGTACATCTAGAAAGACTTGATATTGAGTCAAATACCGATAGTAGTGTTACCACTAACACTAACGTCACAGCCAATCCACTGCTCTAATGACTCATTTCTGACAAGACAGAGAAACACACACATATTCTGTTTTTCTTACCAGGATTGCGGGCATGCTATAACGCACCCTCTTCATTTTTAGCCACATTTCCAGAGTAACCACGTGTAGAGCTGCAACCCAAAAGTCCAGCATTGGTCACTTTGGGCATGGTTGAATACTCAAATATGCTTAAATTTTAGCCCACTTCGCCAATACCTAACCAATTCTGCAGAAAACCCTTCTTCCCATAACTTAAAGTAGGACACACCATCCAGTCTTTGTTTTTTTTTTTCCCTGTGTCAAATTTCCTGACCTTACTGTGAATTTTTTTGATGTTATCTTTTATCCATTTCTAGGCAAGAGAAGCATTTTGTGCTCTTTGAGTGCCACTGAACATGGTGTGTGCATACTGAAAATGAATAAAGAGCAATATTAAAAAGCACATAAAACAATGAATGCCATGCTACTAAATACAACAATTCCAAAGCGCAGAGGGTTGACTTAAGCAGGTTAGATTGGGAGAAAAAAAGCCGTAATGTTAGGGCTCACATTTAAGAGACACATAACTGTTACAACAAGCTGCAAGCAGTGAGAATGTCATAATGCATGATAATGTGATGGACAAACTGTACAGTTTCATCATGATCAAAAAGGTTTCACTAACAATTTGTCCATTTGCAGAATTAAGAGCGACAGGCACGCTAAAAACAGTAAACAGAAAATGGCATTACACTTACGATCGCTTTTTGTAGTAATACAACCCAACAATAATTCCTGCAAAGTAAGAGTTTTATGATGAATGATTCAAAATTATTTATGATGCATGATTAATGATGATCTCCATGGACAATCTACACCACACCCACTCTGATCTTACTGTAACTTCAATCTAGCAAATCTATACTTACTAATATAGATCCATATCTTGTATAATCTGGAATTCTATATCAATATTCTATCCCCTGTGTATACATGTATCTTTTTTCTTATATACATTTTTACAATTTTTTGTTCTGAAGTACTACAAGGGGGCCATGCAAGATTTTCACTCACCTTCACACCTGTGTAATGTGACAAACGTGATTTGATTTGAAATGAATGTATTTAATGCACTTAAATGCTGAGCATTCCCCACATAAACCAGTATTTGGTCCCCCACTGAGCTTCACACAATTATTACTGCCTGAACTTGAACTCTGCAGCCATTCTGGTTGTTTCTTGTGTTGAGTTTCTGAATGCAACCTCCTGTACAGAGGGCTTTATTTAATATAAACTGGAATACTGACTTAAGTCCAAGCTTTTTGTACAGTCACACACAGAAGTTTGAACACCCAAACGGGTGAAATTATATGTTGTGTTGACCTTCTAAGTGAAAAGAGGTGAACATAACCTCTACATGGAACAGACATAAATGTCATTGACATTTTACATATTGGGGGAAAAAGAAAAATACAGCATGAGATGTAAAATGTGCCATAACTTTTGCACAGACATGTTTAATTTCTTTATTTATTAGTTTTAGTTATTTATTAGTCTCAATATGTTAAATTTAGCAAATTAACACTAACTGCACTAAAAAAAAAAACTCTGTAGATGTTAATTTATTTTCACTTAAATCAACAAAACGTCATTTCATCAGAGGTGCTCAAACTTTTGCATACAACTGTACAGCTTCAAAAGATACCATAGAACAGAAAACTGTACGTACACTGGCATAGTTGAATAAGGAGAATTCAGTACATAGAACTGACATATCTTTTCCTTCTAATACAAGCTTCACATTTGCAAGAGGGCAGTAAGATAGGCCAATTCCAAAAATCCTAAACTGTAACATAACAGTTCTGATTCATTAATATTTACGCACCAAAACATAAACATACATCAACGCAGCAACAGGAAGAAAAAAAAACAGTGGACTATGCAAAAATGTAATGTTACCGCTCCAAGGGGATGTCGGCATTTTTCACTCTTTCCATGGAACCGAACTCTCAACAGGCTTGGTTGATGTTTATCTTTAAATGAGGCTGATTTTGGCTTTCTCACAGGGTGTCCAAATCGAAAGCTGCGGACGTGAACGATTCTGAATCGATTCACAAATGTCAAAAATCGATTTTCTAAATTTCAATTTGTAACGTAATGTTGACGGAACGAAAAAGGCGGAACCTGTAAGTGCGGGATTGCAGCGCCCGGACAGTCTGTGGCGGCACATAACAAAAACACAACTGGATGAGCGAGAAATCTGACCGGCTCCCTCTGCATTAAAGCCAGGTTAGGTCAGGAGTCACAACACAAATGATAAGAGCCATTTTGACCTTTCAACAAAGATCGAACCAGCTTGGGAGCCACAACATTTAATGTCTGGTATGTCTCAGTATGTGATAATGTCCTAATATAGGCTAAACAATATAAACGAGAGCGCAGATCTACTTCGCTCTGCTTTAAGCTTTAGCTCAGCTACAGCCGCTTTTCTTCCATCTCCGCCAGAAAACTTTTCCTGTTGAATAGTTGAATAGTTTCTTGTAAAATGTCTCTCATGCTCGACTGTTTTACAAGGTTGAAGTCGCTTCTTATTCTCCAGCTTCTTGTTCGAATTTTCACGTTCCACCTTAAATTCTGCCTGAGGTGCCAGAACGTAAACGCGGGACTATTTAAGGTGGAACGGGGAAATTAGAAAGAGAAGCTGACTTCAGCTGTGCAACTTTTTAGTGTGTGACAGTCTCTCATTACCAGGCAACCAACTGCGCTGCTTATAAATGTGAATAAGTCCATTCATCTCCAAATGTTCGTCCCTCTTTTCCTTTTTTGTTCGCTACTCGCTCGGCGAAACCTTGTTGCTAGGTGACCTGCACACGTCCCGTCTCAAAGATACTTTACTGACACAGCGATCCCCCCTCTCTCTACAACGAGACCACAATTCAAATCGAATCGTGAGGTGCCTAAAGATTCCCACCCCTAATGGATAACGTGTGCTAGTTAGTTGGAGCTTGCTAGTAGCTTAGTTGACTAAACAGTCTGACAACCTAGCTTATTAACAAGGAGATCAATTTTATTTTCCTGCTTGTGTCTATTTCAACACGTTGCTTCTGTGTGAGCCATCGCAGTATGTCGCTGTAAACCAGCACATCGGAGCAGAGCTCATCAGATTATTCATAAGCCCACCATAAAAGGGACAAATCGCTCGTTTCATTCTATGGCCAAATCAGAAGGTTTTAAAGGGCATGTAAAACTTCATCTGGGCATTTTTCACCCATACCTTCTACAGAGACTTCAGAGAACAATTTAAAATACTGAATAAATGAGTTCTGTGGTACCTTTAATAAAATACACATCTATTCTTTCTTTTAACCAACAAATACCAACTCTAACACTGTGCTTATAGTATTTAATTATTCAAATTAATTAGTGCAAATAAATACGCTTACCTAAAATGAACAGATACAGAAAGCACTACTATTCTAAAACAATGATGTAGATATTAAAAGGCTGCTTGAATGTTTAACCCCTTAAAATCTCAGGCTTATTACATACTAAGGCTTATTATTCTGCCTGTTTACATGGTACCCAACAATATATCATATGGAAGACCAGAAAAAAAACAATACTCATGGAAAATGAGGAAAAAAACAAGTGTAACATGCTCATGGTGTGGGAAGCGACATGTAATACATACTCTGTGTCCATGTTGTGTTTTATGGTAGAAAACAGACCAAAAATCCGAAAACTAAAATTATGTGCTTGGATCCTTTACAATAGAGTTCCAGCACCTTTCGAGTATGGTGCCCCCAAAAACCCCAGTGTGTCAATGCTAGCTGCACCTGTAAACATGATTTGGACTGAACCTTGCCCTGATCCACATGTGTCAGACTATAGTCCCCCTAGGCTACAGTACTGCAGACCTCTGCATTCTGCCTCAATAAACAAACTTTATTAAACCCTATCGATAATTGGCAAGGTCTTTGTGAATTGAAGCGTGTTAGACAAGGGAAATGCTAACCCCTGCTGCGCTTTGGCCTGGATGGAACCCAGTTGGACATACCTGCCCTAAACCAAATCCTAATCTAAACCGAAAGTATCTTAACCTTAACCCTCATCCTGGCACTAATCATAAGTAACTGTAACCCTGTCATATATCTGTATCTGGTAAATGGGTTTCAACACATGGTTTGTTAATAATTTATAATAATAAGCATGTGTAGACCAGCTATGGTAATTGCCCAAATAAAATGGGACCAAAACCACCATATAAATCATAAATGGTCACTTATTATAAACTTACCAAGTACTCCAAGTGCTCCTATCACCCCACCTATGATTTTCCCGGCGTTGTCTACAAACAACAAATGATAACTGATTAGAGTATATTCCATCAAAAGTCCAATCAAAAGTCCAATGTTAAACAATGTGTTAAAGAAGCATGCAAGAAGGCTGAGCTTGAATGGTAAGCAAGTTAGCTGAATGACCAGTGACTAACCAGATATATCTTTAAAAACTGTATCTGCACTCTTACACAGACAATTTGTAAGCAAGAGACATTTTTTTTTCATTGATTCAGATATCGGACAATTCAACTCAATATTCAAGTTTACTAAAGCAATTTCTTTCCTAACGTTAATGAAACTCTCAAGTGTGTTAGATGGCGGCTTTTAAGGAGTAGTGTTTTGAGGTCCCTGGTTTGATTAGTGCCCCAATGTTTGTTTTAAAGTAAAATGGGGGGGGGCTTTCCAGTTTGCAATTGTGCAGTTGGACCCAAAGTGTTCATTGTTAAGGTTTATATAATAAAGCTTTATAATACATAAAAGATACATACACTCACTCACACACACACACACACACACACACACACACACACCTATACAGTGCTGTGCCCCAATGTCTTCTATTTTTGCTCATTTTTAATTTTTATTTTTGCTCAAAGTAACTGCCCCCTTAACCCTAATAACTAGTTGTGCCACCCTTGGCAGTAACAACTGCAATCAAACATTAGCAATAACTTGTGATGAGTCTTTTACATTGCTGTGGAGGAGTTCTGGCCCATTCTTCTTGGCACAGTTGCTACATTGGAGGGTTTCCGAGCATGAAATGCCTGTTTAAGGTTTTGCCACAGTATTTCAATGGGATTCAAGTCAGGGATTTGACTGGGGCATTCCAAAACCTTAATTTTGTTTCTTTTGAGCCATTCAGAGGTGGACTTGCTTGAGTGCTTCTGTTCATTGACCTGCTGCATAACCCAACTGTGCTTGAGCTTTAGGACAATTCATGGTTGCATCAATTAAGACAAGTCGTCCAGGTCCTGCAAAAGCAAAGCCGCCCTGGACCATCACACTACCACCACCCTGTTTGACTGTTGGTATGATGTTCTTATGGTGGAATGCGGTTTCAGCTTTATGCCAGATGTAACGGGACATCTCTTCCAAAGAGTTCCACCTTCGACTTGTCAGTCTACAGAATATTATTCCAAAAGTCTTGGGGGTCATCTAGATGTTTTTGGTAAATGCGAGACGAGCCTTTGTGTTCTTTTTGGTCAGCAACTTGCAACTGTCTCATCAATACCATTCTCGCTATGTCATTTTTTTTTAACCCAATCAGTCTCATCTTGCTTGCTTAGGATATGGGATATCCCACACATTAGTGTGCTTCACTATTACAAATAATAGGAAACCACTTACTGGGTGATGGATTATCATCTTCTTTCTTATCTAGAAGAAAAAACAGGAAGAAAAAAGTATCAGAGTTGAAGGTGGGCAAAATGGCAGCTGAGATGTTTAAAAACTCTGGCAACTCCACTGAGTCTGCTAAACTCCTACCAGCACCACACTCTACTGAGACTGAGGATGGTCCACCACTTAAGTAATATCTGATTAGTGGTGGTATTATGGTGGTTCCTTCCCATTGATGTATGGGGTAGACAGGAGGGGGCTTATAAATTGTGCAGCAACAGATGAGCTAGTCAGCCAGGCACTCTTTACAAAGTGAATTAGGTGCTTTCTATACGATGTGAATGATTAGATGCATAAGCAAAAGAGTCTCAGATTACTTTCTATAGCTTAAAGGATTGGTTCAAAAAAGCAAACTTTAGATGGCAAAAAAGACAACTTTTTTTTTTTTTACTGTTTCAAAAAAAGAAAATCATCTATGTCAGCAGCGTTTTTGAAAATCTCTCAGTCCACCTGCTTACTTAAGCAGGCCAGCCTGAAAAGGGTTAAAAGTCATACGCAGCAAGAACACTGCAAGAGTAAAACACACAGCATGTCACAAAGCTGAATCACATTTCCTTACAAAATGATACTGGCAAGTAGGCTTTGACCTCCTTAATTCAATATTTCACACAGATTCGAAGATTTAGAAAATAAAAGCTTAAAAAGAGCAAAAGAAAGCCAACCCCATTGTAGTGAGCGGACGTTTATGCTGTAAGGCTACAAGACTGTCTCTGAACAACCGAAAGGCAGCTTACAGCTTTAAATTCCTTTTGAATTTACTGAGAATCACTGAGGTATTTTTAACATTCAAATCGATTTGAATCAAGCTGACATGCTATTCAAAAAGAAAAGAGTGCAGTACATTGACACCTCCGCACTATGTTTTAATGTAAAAGTAAAGCAAAGCAAAGTTCAATTATAAGCATACTGTCACCCCAAAATCACCCCCATATTGCCTAGGCCACAGAAACAAATCAGTCATCAGCCATGTTTCTGCCAGAGACCACCACCAGGAGAAGATAAAATCTGGTTATGTATGAAAACAGCAACAGCCATGTGCAAGTTAGTGGGATTATATCTGTGTTTTGGTCATCCACATGGAACCCTGAAAATCACTAAATAACGCAGCTTCAAAAATAAATCACCATCCTTGAGAGCATTTTTAAAAAGACACTGTTTTAAGTATTATGCAGACAGAACAAAAAAATACAGAGAATCTGTCTGGACACACGAGTGGACAGGGCCTTCAGAAACCAAAAAAGCCCTTGTTGATGCCACTGTAGTCGTTTGGAGTAAGGTGGTAAAATGAGGACACTGGGATTTTCATTGAGCTGTTCTTTTACTGGCAAGAACCAAGCACCAGCATTAACTGTGTATTATGAAAACATTTCACTTAGTATTATCTTGCCTATTTCTAACATGCACTAATGATAAGAAATTTGTGAAAATTGTCAGAGCAATCTCAGATATTCCTAGTACTCCACCTTTAGGAGCTGGACTTGTGGGTCTAGTAGGTGGTGTTGCTGTAGTTGTTGTACTTGTTGTTGTTGAGACTTCTTGTACTAAAACTATTTAAAAAAACAATTAAAAAAAAAAAGAAGAAGAAGAAAAAAAAAGCATGAAATCATGCAGAGAGTTAGAGAGGTAGAGATGCTTCTAACTTTCAGCAACATGGAACTGAAATAGAACTACCAGATGTGAAGATGCGCAATACATACAAAATACACCGCCTTCCAAGAATAAAAGGATAGTCTATTGAAAATGGACAGTTCTGCTGTATGGTCAATTTATAGGTTTATATAGACATGCAGCGCTCAAAATTAGTTTTAGGACATCTCTACCACTTCTAGAATTATTCAATTTGTGGAACCTGTGCATTACCATATTCAGAAGTATGTCATTTTATAACTGTTACACATTATCAAATGTAGCCTCTTTTGTACCAGGGTGTTGCAAACCCAATTCCAAAAACATTTAGATGGTATGTGAAGTGCAGATAAAAACAGAAACCAGTGATTTAGAAATCTACTTTAACCTGTATTTGAACAGAAACAGTACAACTTCAAACAACAACTTTGTTTTTTTGTGAACATGCGCTCATTCTGAAACTGATGTCAGCAATATGTCCCAAAAAGTTTGGGAATGGGGAATTTAAGACTAGGAACGTTGTGAAATGTTCAAAAAACAGGTGATGCAATCGTGCTTGGGTATAAAAGGAGCACCCAGGAAAGATTAAGTACTTCATGAGCAAAGACATGTTGAGGTTCTCCGCCAACAATGGACCAGCCAAAAATTTAAAAAAAGTTTAAAAAAATGTTGCTCATTATTTTGCAAGGATTTTAGGTCGTTCACCCTCTGTGGTGCATAATATCAACAACAAATTCAGGGAACCAGGAGAAATCTCTGTGTGTAAAGGGCATGGCCTAAACCCACAACTGAAGGATGACCGTCGATCCCTGCATTAAAAACTGGCATGCATCCATGATGGATCTCACCACATGAGCTCAGGAATACTTTGACAAACCATTGTTAATAAACAGCACACAAATGCAGGTTAAGACTGTACTACGCACAGCAGAAGTCATGTATCAACAGCATCCAGAAACACTGCGGACTTCTCTGGGCTTGAGCTCCTCTGAAAGAACTGATGAACAGTGGAAATGTGTTTAGTGATCTGAGAAGTCAACCTTTAAGAACTTTTATGGACACAATGGAGGTCGTGTTCTCTGGGCCAAAGAAGAAAAGAACTATCCAGATTGTTAAAACAGCATGGTTGTGTAATCTGAGAGCTCAGGTGCCAGATCGGCCTTCATGCAGCCCACCTTTCTCACTATGAAAACGTGCAAAACACAACAATGAAGCACTCACACAGTTGCACAGCTGAAGACTTGTAAAACATAAGAATGGCAAAATATTCTGTTTTCAAAACTGGATCAATTGTTGTCTTCAGTCCCCAAACAATTATTAGGTGTTGTCAAAAGGAAAGGTGATGTAACAGAGTGGTAAACATGGTCCTGCCCCAACTATTTGAGTGTGTCATAGGCATTAAATTTGGAGTGAGCATATTTTTACAAAAAACAAGTTCATAAGGTAAAACATCAAATATTGTGTTTTTCTACCATTTTAAAAATTGAATACAGGTCAAACAGAACTTACTTAGCACTGCTTCTCTGTTTTTATTAACTTCTCACATACTGTCCTAACTTGTGTCAAGTATATGTCATGAAGATATCTCTGTCAGGCATTACATCTGGTACCTCAAGGAGTTAGGGACACGAAAAGACCCTTTTTCACTGGCCTTCACAGAAGACAAACAAGAAGCTAAAAACTGAGCACGCATTCAGGTAGAGGCACTTGGTGCAGACCAGTGTATATGCCATCTGGGAACTAAACAAGAAAAGAAATGGCATCTGTGGAGCTGATGTGTTGAATACTCATTACTCAAAGTGGATTACTTCTGGACTGACAAACCCGGGTGGGGGAAACATCCCTAAACGTTATAAGCCAAATCGCAGGAGCAAGGATGTTTGAGGAGAATACCAAATCCTGTTGGTGTATCTACTGTTTGAATGGGGGTTGCCTTCCTTTTGCACTCAGTTACCAACACAGAATCAGGAACTGTATATACTGTATACAAACTGCATAAAATTTGCTTAGCCTCTTAAAGAACTGTCAAGCTGACTGAGTGTGCGATAAATGTCTTGCTAATACTCCTGTGACTGAAATTGTTTTATTTACTGAATTGTGGAGGAGCTAAACATTTTGTTTATCAGGACACAATGTGATCTCTCTGCTTTGAATGTTGATCGCTTACTCTTTTAGTTTACAGTAGGTTTATTGCTGAAAACATCTGTATTTTCTTTTCTGAATACGAATGAAAAAGATTATACATTTACCATGAAAAGTAATAAATTAAAAAGACAAATTGTATTCGAAGAGTGTCCCAAGACTTCTTTTGAGCACTGCTTAAAAAACCACAGAAATAGATTTTATAAAGGCTTACATCAATATATAGTTAGATAATATAGATTTTAGATGAAAAGACCAATGAAGAAAAAGTAGAGAATTCTGGTGATGTCAGCCCTATTAGAATAAGAAAAAATACAAGTCAATAATCAATAATAACAAAAAAAAAAAAAACAAGTCTTCTAGTCTTCTTTGGCACAGAGTACATGACTAAAATTGCCATTATACACCTATTCAGAGGTGGGTAGTAATTAGTTACATTGATGGATTTGTACTCCGCTGAGTATTTTCAAATCATTACTTTTACTCTACTAAAGTAAGTAAAGGAATCTTTTTACTTTGTTACATTTTAGCCATTCATGTTTACTTACTAACTGTGTTTAATTTCAGTATGTTTTGATGATGGCAATATTTATACTGCTTTGTGGCTGGTTTGTGATCTGACTTTAGAGCTTTGTATTTTAGACCAAAACAATCCCAAAAAGAGAAGAATAGAGCAGCACAATCTGATAAATGCTGGATGTAGTGAGAAGTTTCACTGCGGTACTCAATACTTAAGTAGATTTTCGACCTGCTTCTTTTGTATTTCTACTCAAGTAGTTTTGGGGAAGGTACTTTTACTTGCATAATGATTTTATGCAAGTATCAATACATTTACTTGAGTATTGATGAAGGCTATTCTACCCACCGCTGAACAGTGCATGTGTTTGTTTTGATGTGGCTACAGTAGGTGCAGCCTCAAATAGCAATATTTGTTAGCTACCATCTTTGAAGAACACCAAACAGTTTTCATACCCAGTTCATTTTTTAAAAAGACCCACCAAAGTTGTTTTGTTTTTTTTTTTTGTGATATCATATCTCTTTCCTTTGGTTTGGATGGTGCACTACAAGGGCTAAAGAGGGCTAAATTACACATGTGGGTGTTCATTTATTGATCAGAAGTTTTGCAGGGATGCAAGCGCTCGGTTGATCCTCACATTCACCACCATGAAAACAGAAAATAGAGACGCTGATCATCTTTGTGCCTACCAAATGAAATTCAAACGATCAAGTCGCTGATACCTGGCAAAAAATATGCTCCAGAGACTGTGTGCCAAAATCAAATTCGAAGCATTATTTTATTGCTTGTCTGTCCTTATTTACAGCAGCTTGCAGTGCAGGACTGATATGAGTGTTTGTAAAGAGTGAAATGTTAAAAGCAGCAGACAATACAGACAGTACAGCGAAGAAGTGCTCTGGTGTTGAATTCTCTCATGAATCAGCGCAGTTCAGTTGTTTGGTGCGGATCTGAATTTGGGTGGAGTCGGATGTCAAAACCAAACTAAAGAAAAAAGTTCGGCAGGTCAGCACCTACCAAGGCAGGTTTGAAAGTGCCTCCCAGCTGAAATGGAGATTGTGATTCGCTCTGCCACTGTTTATATGTTGAGACCTGAACTCAAAAAGTAGTTGGGTAAATGCCTGCTCGCCACCGTGGCTCCAGTGGCCATGATTTAATTCCAGCTGCTGCCAGCAGTGCTAACTTTATTAAATGTGCACATGTAGTTGCTTTAAAAGCAAATGTGCATTCACACCGTAATCGCATAATTGTGACTTATTTTCTTAGTGTCTCATAATAATGAGAAAATTTTATGGCTAAGATCCCCAATGATATGCCATGGGAGTATCTCATATGGCTTAGTATCTCATAATTACCAGGTTCTAAACACTAAGATACAAAGTAGTAATTTTGAGACAGGATCTCATTATCATGACACAGCAAGTCATAGCTTTGAGATCGTAAGTCATAGTATCATTATTAGGAGACAAGGAATCATAATTATGAGATATTATCTCATTATGATGAAATAGCAAGTCAGTTGTGAGATGCTATGTCATGGGACTTAGCATCTCGTAATAGTAATGGGAAACTCATCATTATGAGTTACTAAAAGACTATATAGTTGTTTCAGTGGCAGAAACAGGCTTCCATAGTTCTGTGCTATACAGGGGAAACCGCTCATTCATCATAACTGGCTTTCACGCATTTCATAATCTACTGAAACTGTTCATAAAAATATAGTTACAATTTTGAGAACACTACACTTAATAGGTTGCAGTTTATAGTAAGAAGCTCTCTGACTTCCTAGTTTCACTACCAAATTAAGTAGTGGAGATGCTGGCCTACACAGAGTTAATCAGATATATTAGGCAAAGCAATGTGCAAGAGCCGCAGTTACAGTGATTACATGCTAAAAGATTGGGTGACAGTATCTGAGTGTGCTGTGGTTAGAACAGAGGGGGAGCAAATATACTATCACTGTTTAGCTATTCAGTCACGTCCTCATGGAAGACAGCACTAAAAATACTTGCTAAAATGCCTGCCTGAAGTTTGGGGGAAACAGGTCAAGAAGAAAACTATTAGGGGGAAACTTTTCACAAAACACCAGATCACACACTGAAAAATATTACTCACTCTCTTCACTGCAGGTTGGAGGAGGTGGATTCCATCCATTTCTGTCACACACCAGGGAACCAGATCCCACCATCTTAAAGCCAGAATCACAAGCAAACTCTACAGTGCTTCTATATCCAAAGGGTGGTGTTCCTTTAATTCTTTTGCCATTTGGAACGGAGGGTGAATCACAGGACACCACTGGATAAAAAAAACAATGAACAGAAATATGAATGAAGAAAATTATGAATATGCCTCACTCTAAAATTCAAAACAGATCCACTGTTACAACTAAGAACAAAAATTCATAAACATATACAAACATACATATATGGATCATTCTACCTAATTAGCTCAAACAGCAGCCCAACATTAAAAAAAACATGTAAAAAAATAAGTATTCAGACCATAGACATTTACAAGGATAATGTTATGATTTAAACCCAAGACATTAGCTGAAACAGTAACAAGCTAAATATATACACAAAATCATAATTTGTAGGGTAATTTCTATTGGGAAGTGTATGCCCCAAACCCTAACCTCTAAATTTTAACTTGTAAAAATAGGCTAATTCCATTTTTTGTGTTTAATTTCAGTATGTTTTGATGGTGGCAATATTAATACTGCTTTGTGACTGGTTTGTGATCTGACTTCAGAGCTTTGTATTTTAGACCAAAATAATCCCAAAAAGAGAAGAATAGAGCAGCACAATCTTCATTTCTATGCTGATAAATGCTGGATGTAGTGAGAAGTTTCACTGCAGTACTCAATACTTAAGTAGATTTTCGACCTGCTTCTTTTGTATTTCTACTCAAGTAGTTTTGGGGAAGGTACTTTTACTTGCATAATGATTTTATGCAAGTATCAATACATTTACTTGAGTATTGATGAAGGCTATTCTACCCACCTCTGAACCTGATCATGAACAGTGCCAGTGTTTGTTTTGATGCTACTACAGTAGGTGCAGCTCCAAATAGCAATATTTGTTAGCTAACATCTCTGGAGAACATCAGACTGTTTTCATACCCAGTTCATTTTTTACAAGACCCACCAAAGTGTGATATCATATCTCTTTCCTTTGGTTCGGATGGCGCACTACAAGGGCTAAAGTGGACTAAATTACACATGTGGGTGTTTGTTTATTAATCAGAAGTTCGTTTATGCTGATCATGCTGTTTGTTCATGCTGATCAGCGCTTCAAGCAGTTTAGTGAAAGCGGAGGTTTGTATGTTGCGACATGAACTCAAAAAGTAGTTGGGCAAATGCCTGCTCGCCACCGTGGCTCCAGTGGCCATGATTTAATTCCAGCTGCTGCCAGCAGTGCTAACTTTATAAAATGTGCACATGTAGTTGCTTTAAAAGCAAATGTGTATTCACACCAATGAGACCTGGGGAGGTGGTGAATCAGCAATAAGGCTTGTTATGGGAACTTATCCTTAGTTATGCACTACTCCTCTATTGTTGGTGAGACAACTACATCACACTGAGTGTAAAGAAACAAAGGCTCTAACCGAAATATATCTCCATTCCCTCAAAAAGTGGGCCATTTCTGCCATTTAGTACTTTACAATAAAGGTTTCTCATAATTGTTACTTAATTACTTAGTATCTCATAATAATGAGAAAATTTTATGACTTAAGATCCCCAATGATATGCCATGGGAGTATCTCATATGGCTTAGTATCTCATAATTACCAGGTTCTAAACACTAAGATACAAAGTAGTAATTTTGAGACAGGATCTCATTATCATGACACAGCAAGTCATAGCTTTGAGATCGTAAGTCATAGTATCATTATTAGGAGACAAGGAATCATAATTATGAGATATTATCTCATTATGATGAAATAGCAAGTCAGTTGTGAGATGCTATGTCATGGGACTTAGCATCTCGTAACAGTAATGGGAAACTCATCATTATGAGTTACTAAAAGACTATATAGTTGTTTCAGTGGCAGAAACAGGCTTCCATAGTTCTGTGCTATACAGGGGAAACCGCTCATTCATCATAACTGGCTTTCACGCATTTCATAATCTACTGAAACTGTTCATAAAAATATAGTTACAATTTTGAGAACACTACACTTAATAGGTTGCAGTTTATAGTAAGAAGCTCTCTGACTTCCTAGTTTCACTACCAAATTAAGTAGTGGAGATGCTGGCCTACACAGAGTTAATCAGATATATTAGGCAAAGCAATGTGCAAGAGCCGCAGTTACAGTGATTACATGCTAAAAGATTGGGTGACAGTATCTGAGTGTGCTGTGGTTAGAACAGAGGGGGAGCAAATATACTATCACTGTTTAGCTATTCAGTCACGTCCTCATGGAAGACAGCACTAAAAATACTTGCTAAAATGCCTGCTTGAAGTTTAGGGGAAACAGGTCAAGAAGAAAACTATTAGGGGGAAACTTTTCACAAAACACCAGATCACACACTGAAAAATATTACTCACTCTCTTCACTGCAGGTTGGAGGAGGTGGATTCCATCCATTTCTGTCACACACCAGGGAACCAGATCCCACCATCTTAAAGCCAGAATCACAAGCAAACTCTACAGTGCTTCTATATCCAAAGGGTGGAATTCCTCTCATTCTTTTGCCATTTGGAACGGAGGGTGAATCACAGGACACCTCTGGATAAAAAAAAACAATGAACATAAAAATGAAGAAAATGAACATAAAAATGAAGAAAATTACGAATATGCCTCATTCTAAAATTCAAAACAGATCCACTGTTACAACTAAGAACAAAAATTCATGAACATATATTCATAAACATACACACACACACACACACACACACATTTACAAGGATAATGCTATGATTTAAACCCAAGACAGTAATATACAGTAATAAGTTAAATATATACACAAAATCATAATTTGTAGGGTAATTTCGATTGGGAGGTGTCTGCCCCAAACCCTAGCCTCTATATTTCAACTTGTAAAAATCGTACTTTATGGATTTTTTTTTTTTCAAATGTTTTTTTTTTAATCTTTTTAAATTCTTTAAAATTGAAGATTTAATGTAACATGAGTTATTTCGTGTTTTCATGTCACAACCGAAACAAAGAGTTTTAGTGCATAGGTGGAGTCTTATTTTGGCTAAACCCTTTGCATTTTTGAGCAGGAAGTAAGACTGCAACCCTGTTCCTCATCACCAGATAGTGAACAGTTAGATTCTATTGTTTTTAAGTAATTGTGTCCCAAAGTCTGAAAATCAGTGTGGAACATTAAGAATGGTCACTAACAAAACATTTTTTTAGAATTAAGTAAACTTACTTATGAGCATGTGTGTACAACTGATCAAAACTGTGTTTGCTAGTCATGTATGGGCTTAGCCCTTTTGAGTTATGCTCAAAATTAGCTAAGATTTTCATCGCTGTAACGGTCACTATCACAACATTTGGTTAAAATTTCGCTAGTGCTTGTTTTGGTAGTGACAAAATGGAATGTTCAATCATTTATTTCAATACAATTAACATAATTAAGGTGTAGTGAAAATCCATTAACAAAAATTAGAAACATTCATGTCTGGGTTTAAACTCCTAGAATCATGCACAGTTTGGTGATTTCCTTTCTCAAACAGAGCTTTTTCAACTCATTCAACTGCCAGGTTTAGAAAGTGTATTAGAGTAGGGAATTCACTAATCTGGAAAAAAATAAATAAGAAAGAAAGAAAGAAAGAAAGAAAGAAATTAACAAACAAACTGAGCTGGACTCAAGCCATGAGACTCACAACCATAATTTATGAAAAGCCCAATTCTACACATTAAAGTGGGAAAAAATCTACATAATTAAATCTTTGAGATGTAAACAAAGTAATTCAGAGTGGTTTGGTGTGAAATAAATGACTCCAGAGTTTGGTTTGGTTGGTTTCACAATGTAATGGCTAAAAAGCACATGTGAGTGCTTGTTAGAAACTCAGCAGGGAAACAAGCACCATGTTGCTGTCATATGTGGCACCATTTGCTCCAATTCCATGAAATACTCTGTCTGGTGCCTGAAACATCAGGTCATAACATACCACCTCACCTAACCCTCCCAGTTCATGTCATGGATTTTCTTAAATCATGTGAAAACATACTTTTTAGTTTTTGATTTTTGAAGTTTGGCCCTTTTCATCATTTTTATGATTCTTTGTATGTGCACTCTAAGACTCACCAATTGCTTTTTATTTTCTTTGCTGGGTTGGGATTAAATTTGTACTGAACATCCAAGAAGCCCTACGGATAATTAGCAACATGTATTCATGTAAATAGCGAATATTTTTTTCCACTTTCTTGCAGCCAGATTTTGATTCTGTGTAAATTTAAATATAGGTTTGTCCCTACGCTGTGGGGGGGGCATCCTACCCACCCAGAGGGAGCGAGGCCAACTGTGCTTTCTTGAACACCCGGCCAGGATTAGTGAGATAAAACATATGAGCCATATTTTGAGAGTTAAGGACTGCTGCGTCCCTGCGTAAGGCCCACTTGGTCTCAAAACCCTGCAGTTTTTCTTTCGAATGCTAGATTCGACTACGGAACTAAAATTGCAGGTCTCACGCAGGGCTGCAGAGACCCGGTATTGGATTTCACTGCGCATGCTGATAGAAAACGTCATCAGTCTGGCAGTTTTTTTTTGTCATACCAAGTAGTTTTTTTTTGTCACTGTAAAATTTGTGAAACTAACATGCTTCATGGGGAAAGCAAAGTAAAAACTTTTAACACCGCTAACACAGTATTAGAAGACAGCAGAACTAGCAAAGACGATTAACACAACAAAAATAAGCCAGCAAACTGCAGACCATATTTGACCAATACCAAAAATACAGCAGCAACAGTCAGAAAGCTTATGGCATCACATCCAAAGTGATGGAATTTATAGTGCTAGATAACTAGCCCTTTTTGGCTGTGGGATTCTGCCACTTAATTTCTCACCTAGCCATGGAATGCCATTCTTAGTAGGAAATACTTTTTAGATGTTGCCCTACACAGTGCAGTTCTGCTTGCATGAGAATTCACAAGCTCCTACATATCTACTGCTCTGGGGGAGTTTGCCATGTTTCAAATGTGAACGATTCCAAAAAGCATAGCAGAAGTCACCTTGAGAGACAAAGCACAAAACAACACAAAAGCCTTGCAAGATGCTGCATTACCAAGTTTGCCATGCATGGTGCATTCATTTCAGCTAGTAGTAAATGAAGGGGTGTTGTCACAATGCAGCATCAGTGATATTGTAGCAAATGCAAGATGGACTTTTAGCCACTTCAAACAGAGTATTCAACCACAGCTGAGACAACTTGACACAAGGTTTCAACAAGAGGTTCCAACAAGATGGAACAGCACCTATTACAGGCTACAAAGTCCACTGGAACAAAAATGTGTGTTAGGTGCTTATGGAGTTAAATATGATTTGTTGGCCACCTTTACTGCCAATCATTGGAAACGTACACTGAAACATGGTGGTGCCACTCTCCCAGAGAGTGAGAGGGAGAGAAGGGAGAACATGGCGGAATGTAGTGACACAGATTCAGAGATATTTCAGCCTTCTAAGAAGACCAAGTCTGACGTTTGGTCATATTTTGGGTTTTATAAGGATGCAGAAGGAAAGTTAATTGAAGATGACCACCCTGTCTGCAGATGACCACCCTGTCTGCAGAACAGGCCGAAAGAAAATAGCGGCGAAAGGGGGCAACACATCAAACCTTATGAGTCATCTTCGCAACCACCACCCGCTACTTTTTAGAGAATTCAAGGTTAACTTTAACGTAGAAGTCCGTGGGGAAGAAATGTCATGGTCGGTGTGGTTTAACTTATGCTTATGGTTCGTTAATAATATAAAATGAAGCTTTTAGCTTCAAAACAATCGGTGAATCAGCTGTGAATCGAAACTAAAGCTTTTAACATATATTTCTGTGGAGCAGAGTCTCCAAAATGAGCTCTGAGTTAAGTCACACAAGCTCTGGAACAAGAAGCTGCAGAAGTTCAATCTGCACAGCTCCCCTTTCTCGTCTCGCTTGCAGTGTTTACTGTCTGAGAAGAGAATAACACTGTCTCAAATCACTCAGTGTCCCCTACATAGTGCGCTACTTTTCAAACAAACACAATCATCATTAACAAGCAGAGTTTTAAATAGGGAATTTGTAACCTGTTGTTAATATATTGTTATTGTGAACATTTCCTGCACTCTTTGGGTGAAGGATTTGCTATTTCATGATCCATGAAGTGCACTACATAGGGAAGATAGTGTGCTTTGAGACGGGACCTTGCGTGAGTAAACGCCGTGTGCTGATTTTAGGAAAAGCAGAGTTTCAGAGATTAAACTTCACGAGTGTTTCTGCCGCAGCTCAGATGCATGTTAATTTTAAGTTATGTTTTAGTTTTAAAATGCTTTTAGAGAAGCAGCTCCACAGGTGGAGACACACTGTGTGAGTTCTACACTGTCTGCAGCTCACAGCGCGGTCACGCAATTTCTCTGTGATTTTGGCTGTTTTTCCTGGTGCACTGTATTGATTAGGGGTTCAGCGCCACATCGGCACAATAATGCTGCAAATGCAGTTCGGACAGAAATCCCCTGAGTGCAACACTTCTTAGAAGTAGTAATTTTCCATTAAGACCCACCTCAGAGTTGGTTGAGATTTAATTCTCTATGCAGGGAAATCCCTAATTATTGTAATTAATAATAATAATAATAATAATAATAACAATAATAACAATAACAACAACAACAATAGTAATAATAATAATCACAGCAGTAATAATAATAATAAAAATGTACAACAGTAATAATAATTATAGTAATAACAGTAATAATAATACATTTTCTATTTTCTTTACAGAGTATTCTAAGTAATACAAATGTAATACTACAAATGTATTGACTATATTTTTTAATGTTTATGCAAACAAAAAGTGCATATTGCTGCCAAATCTATGTGTTAATATAAAAATTGGTGAAACGAATCAGTTTGTGTATCAGTATTTATTTATTTATTTTACTTTTCAACGCTTTTGAACAATATCGCGATAATATCGATAATCATGATAATTTTAGTCATGATAATTGTGATATGAAATTTTAATATCATTTCATCTCTATGAGCAGTTCATGGATGTGTTGAGCGCTCAAACAAGACAGGAGTAACGTTCTGATGAAGAAAGGCCTGGATCAAGTCAATTCAGCAACACAGACGAGCCATAAGAAAAAGTATCACAAGTAGATTCCTTGTCTACCATGTACAGTGAAATACTGGAGTAAAACACTGAGGAACAGGAGAGCAACAGTCCGATCACATTTCAAGTGCACAGCTACCTTTCAGAGACCAACATCCCAAGGAGTGCACAAGCACAGAATTACTGGCAAAGCAATAAGGCCTGCTTTGCCGCTTTTGCCGAAGATGCTCGAGTCTACCTATCTGCGCCTTGCACAAGCGTGGACAGCAAAAGACTGTTTAGCACTGCTTCAAATATACTGACTGAAAAGAGGAACAGACTGTCGTGCCAGAAAGAAGAAATGCTACTCTTCATGATGAACTGCCATCAATGCTCAACATTAAGAAACAGTAAGTCAGTTGGGTAGACATGTGCCCCCCCCCCATTAAAACAGGCTCAGTTGTTTAATTTCAATTTCCTTATTTGATCTTGCTGCAATTTTTTTTCTGAAAATTCAAGGCCTATAAGAACTGTGTGCTTGCAGTATGGACAATTTTAATTTTCTGCTTTTCCACTTAATTCTGAAAATAATTCAAGGCCTATAATGTTTCATGATTGCAGTATACTGACTGTTTATTTTTGTTTAATTTACTGCTATTTCAGTATGAAAATAATAATATAACTATAACAAATTATGACTGCGGCATATTGACCATTTTCATTAAATTTTTTTTGCTATTTTTGTTAAAGATGTGAGACTATTTCACACGAGTTCACTGCAACGTTGTTAGGTAATAAATACACCAATTTAAACCATGTTTTGTGTCTTTGATTGGGCTAGTTAAATGTGGCATCCAGTCCCGCCCTCGATCGGTATCGGCTATCGCCCGATAGTGCTGAAAGGCGAACCGTGATCGGTATTGGCCCCAAAAACACTGATTGGTCCATCTCCAAAAAAATTATCTTGGAAAGTAAGAAATAAACAAGACATACATTGTTTTCAGAGAGTGTCACAAGACTACGTTTGAGCAGCAAAGTTTTGAGATATGGTTTTGGCCCAACATTAGGGGTGGGAATCTTTAGGCACCTCACGATTTGATTCAATTACGATTCAGAGGGCTATGATGCGATTATAAAACGATTATAGATGCATCTCGATGCATCTTTTTTCTCTATACATGATTTCTATCTTCCCACTGTCTGAGGACTTGGTAGTTTTAAAGCAATGTATTTGTAATGATCCATAATGTAAATGCATTACGGATCATTATAAATACTTTGCTTTAATTATCTAAAATATCTTTTATTAATAAATCAAATGGAAGTGATGTGGCAAGTGAACTAGAAGGCTCTCATTCAGAGACGCTGCTGCCACTCATCTGCGATAAAATGCGCTGTTGCCCTGAAATAAGATCCAGTGGCAATGGGTGTCCACGCAGTACATTACAGCCACCCTTTTGGTCTCGTTGTAGAGAGTGTGGGGGGGGGGGTATTTTCGAGACTGGACGCTGAATCTCGGCTCCAAAGTGTGCAGCATAGCGCGAAAGCCCTGGTTCTCAACGACTGAGAACAGACAGCAGGTCACATAGCCCCGAAGTCTGGCCTCGCCAGTAGCGAACGAAAAAACAGATTAAGATGAACATTTGGAGGACTTATTCGCATTTATAAGCAGCGCGGTTGGTTAAATCTGCAATGAGAGACTGTCTTTCTCTAAAAAGTTGCATAAATGAACTTGCTTCTCTTTCGTATTTTCCCGTTCCACCTTAAATGGTGCAGCAGTTACATTCGGCGCCTAAGGCAGAATTTAAGGTGGAACGGGAAAATTAGAACGAGAAACTGGCGAATGAGAAGCGACTTCAGCCTCGTAAAACAGCCGGATGCTGAGACATTTTACAAGAAACTCTTCTAGTTTTGAAGAAAAGTTTTCTGGCAGAGATGGGAGGAAAGCGGCTAAAGCTAAAGCTTAAAGCAGAGCGAAGTAAATCTGCGCTCTCGTTTATATTTTTAGCCCATACTAGGACATTATCCCATACTAGGACATTATCCCATACTGAGACATACTGGAAATTAAATGTTGTGGCTCCCAAGGTGGTTTGACTTCGTTGAAAGGCAAAATGGCTCTTCTTATCATTTGTGTTGTGACTCCTGACCCAACCTGGCTTTTAATGCAGAGGGAGCCGGTCGGATTTCTCGCTCCTCCAGTAGTGTTTTTGTTATGTGCCACCACAGACTGTCCGGGCGCTGCACTTACCCACTTCCAGTTCAGCCTTTTGCGTTCCGTCAACATTACATTATAAATTAAATATTTAGAAAATCGATTTTTGACATTGAATGAATCGATTCAGAATCGTTCACGCCCGCATCGCGATGCATCTAAGAATCGAGTTTTTCCCACACCCCTACCCAACATGCATTAAAATGAATTAATTGAGGAGAGGTACATGAAGGGTATTGTAAGGCAAAATTCTCCCTCCAAAAAAAATTTTTTTTTCAGATTACCTGCTATATTACCATTATTAACAGAAGACAAGTGTAGATTCACTTGTTTCATCAAACCACTCTTTGTTGACATCTAAACGATCAAATTATGCAGTGAAATTCCCCTTTAATGCACAAAATTAAATAAGGCATTTAATTTTAATTTAATCCAGCACTACTTACTTATACATTCAGGAGGAGAAGGCTCAAAGGTTCCACTGTTAGAGCACGATACTGTTGATGCTCCAAAAAGAGTATAACCTGCATTACAAACGTATGTGACCGCCTGTCCATAATCATATTCTTCTAGTGGCTCCTCAGGCTGTCCATTCGTTATCTCAGGAGGTGAAGGACACTTGATCACTAAAGGTGAAAAAAGTTCAGATAAAATGTTGTTTCAAACTATTTTGTTAAATAATAATTCATTGTGAACTTCTACATTTAGGAAATGACAAACCTTCACAGACAGGCTCTCTCCCATCCCAACCAGCATCTAGACAACGTCTAGCTGTGTATCGAAGAAGCATATAGCTGCAAAGCAGAGAGGAACTGTATGAGTATATAAACACAACTACATTTATTACTAGTCAACAAAAGGACTGACCAGAAATACCTCAAAACACAAACACATCAAAACCACATTTCACTCACCCTTCATTACACTGTGCTGTGGCTGTCGCACCAAATAAAACTCCTTCATCTCCTTCTGGAGAATAAGTATATCTCCCATTGGCAAAGTCTGGAAGAGGTCTACAACTTTTTTCTAAAACATAGAAAATATTACAATATCAGATCCTGCATTTATCCTAGAACACATTCTGACAGACAAAATGGAAATCTATGCGTAATGGAAAGAGCAAAAGAATTACTTGTGCACTGAAGTTTCAGCGTATTGTAGTCCCACTTGTTTCCAGAGCAAATAATAGTTTTGGAAGCTTTTGGATCTGCAGGCTTATAACCAACTGAACACTGGAACGTTGCAGTGTCTCCATCTGGGTAAGTCGGTTTGATTGATTCAGGAGTCAAAACTCTGTTTTCCAGTGTACTGGGTTTCTCACACTGAGCTGACAAGACAAAAAGTAAGTAAATAAATAAATAAAAGACTAGAGTTGAATGTAGCACAGACATAAATTACGGGTCATCCAGTATAAAATTACTGGGCTCTCTGGTCTTGAAGCAGCAATGCTGATAACAAGATCGAAAGTCAAAAATTTATGAAATCAAATATCAGGATAAATTAAATAAGTGCTGATTTGCTTTTGTTCTCTTGCACATGCCATGTGTTTCTGTTTTATATTGCTTCACTTTAATTGAACAATTCCCTTTGTACAAGCATTCTTATCTATGGTTAGTTCAAAACATTTACACAACAGAGAAGACTACACAGGCTACACAAACAGAACATCACCAACAAACTAAACAGAGAGAAACAGATAAACTCCAGTACGAGGTGATTTTGCCAGTTAGACCATGATTTGATGGACCTTTAACCCTTGAGAGATGCAACCAAACTGGCACATTATAAATTATTAAGTTATTATAAAACAAGCCCAGATAGTAATTATATGGTAACAACATGCAAGCTACAGGGTAAGGTTCTGTAACGCTCACATGTGGTACTTTGTAACTTAATTTGGATCAGGATTAGACTGTTTATCACGTTAACAGACGATAATCGCTCATCTAAATTTACATTATTGCCCAAACTTAAAGGCACAGTAAACGATTTCAATCCAATACACTGTCAAATGCAATTCATCTCTTCATGGTTTGGCAGCTCTCCATTCTGTGTGCACAAACAAAGTGGTTTAGGACAACAAACATAACACTATTCCAGCCAAACAGCAACAGGGGATTTCGTGCTCGTGCACAGGACAGGAGGAAGGGGAGGTGCTGTTTGTTCCACTCAGTATCAAGATGGAGAGATGAAACAGCCAAAGAGGACAAAATCATCGGTGGAGAGACCTCAGAGCACTGACAGCGAGGCGTTTCAGCAGCGGAGAGTGACCTCCAAAAGTTCACATGGCTGAAGTTAGCTTCCTAATCGCATTTTCTCATTCCTTCCTTAATCATGCAGCAGTTCCATTCTGGAGCCTTAAGTGCCTGAATGTAACCGCTCTACCATTTAAGGCGGAACAGGATAATTCAAACAAGAAGATGAGGCACCTGAATATAGCCTAACTGCTGCACCATTTAAGGTGGAATGCAAAAAAGAAGCTGACTTCAGCTTCATAGAGAGTTGAAAGGCATGAAAGGGAATGAGGAGGTTGCTCCTGCTTGATAGGTGGACTACATTACCATAACCAATAGGTCAGTATATTTAATGTTTGTGACAGTAACTGTGGGTTAGCAAACTATCGCTACATTCTGGTTAATGCTAGTTACATTACTTGCCGTGTTGTTGTTTGCTCATTCTATCATGGTATTTCTTCGTACAACATTTGCGAAGGGTTTTTTTTTTCCAGGTTTTCTTGGCCATAAAACAAGTTTGCTAGCCCAGTGACTTTTGCCTTGGCAATGTGTGTCCATGAATTTGGGGGTGGAGCTTCTGGAGGAGCACTGAAGGGAGGGGTGTATGTTTTGTTGTTGAGGTTAAAGATCAACAACTGTCCTCCAGAATCGTATACTGCACCTTTAATAGGTCCTTGTGTTTTTGTGCAAACCATCACTGGATGCAAAGAAAAATGCACCCATGTGTTGACTTCTACATAACAACACACTATGCCAAGTGACCACCAAGGCTTGTCAGTGTTCTGACTAGCCTGAAGACTTGCTACTGGAGAGAGCTGAATTTGCATATGTCGTAATGAGCAAAGAGCACAGAGATATGCCAGTAATGTGTTTGGCTTGTAGCCACATAACAATTCTTATGAAGAAAAGTATGCAAAACTATTCACCACTCCAGCTTACCTGAATCAGTCCCCAGTAAAATGGGGGATGGCAGAAGTAGTGGGAAAAATCACTATTCTTGCTTTATATCTAGTTTGCACTTAAGATTAAAAGACCAAAAGCGTTCCCTCTCAGATGCTTTGCAATTTTGAAATATCAGAAATTCTTATTCTATACACATTCTTCTTTTCTGTACAGACAAGCACAGACCTGAGAGCTGCCTTATAGGGCTAAAAGACTGATCACGTTTATGTCGAGTTTGTAATTTAAAAGAGTGCATCTGTCAAATCACAAGAGCTGCAATTTAAATTACAGCCTACACGTTTAAAGTGGGAAAATTTAACCTGGTAACAGAGCTTGCCAACTGCCTATAAATGAGTCAGACCAGTAGTCACCAACCCTCCTCCTGGAGATCTACTTTCATGTGGAATTCCAACTAACAACATGCTGCATCCTCCCCATACCTATACTAATGCATCTTAACCAGCCAATCAAGGACCTGTAAGGACATTAATCATTTAGGACAAGTGTGTTAGATTGTGGTTTAAACTACAGTCCACAGAAAGACAGACCTCCAGGACCACGGTTGGTGACCACTGAGTCAGACCAATCAGAAGCAACCAGGGGGAGAGTTTTCACTGGGGAAGGCATTTAAAACAATAAAAAAAAAACTATCATAAAACAGGAATACAACAGTGTGTCAGACATCAGAAAACAAACTTCACAAATATTTTGTGTAGTAACGTTCTGTGAGGGAGCTTTCACCAGCTTTCAAAGCTTCAAATGTCTGCTTCCTATCGCCAAGGCTGCGAACAAATTTGCCTATGTAACCTATGTTTCTCTAGAACAGAGCTCTTTTTATCAGAACTCTCTAAATGACTTCGTTTACATAGTAATGATTAAATTATACAGAATTTTTAAAAAGATGTGGAATTTCCCTTTAGGCCAAAAAAAGTGGGTGTGGTGGTCATCTTGGCCAAAAAAAGGCCTGGACCTTAATTTATGCAAAATAATTACAGTTTAAAATCCTAATTACAACATTGTTATGAAAAATCCCAATTCACCACATCGTTCAAAAAGAAGCCTAAATTTAATAAGTAAAAGAAACAATATATTTAGAATAGCCATCCTGGAAAACATAAGAGTAACAGCTTAGTCCTTTAATTAACTTAAAGGTTATCTAGGTTAGCCTCAGTGGCCCAACACATTCAGCGGTCACTGTATCTTGACTACTGGGCATGCAATGTAGGCCACATAGCCCATGCCCTGCTTGGTCTACCTAAACAGGCCTTAAATTAGACATAATCCTCTCAAAGACCACAATGAAAGCCTAAGCCAGAAGTTTATAGAAAGGTATAGGCTAATGGAAAAAAACAGGAATGGACGCATTGTACTAGTCATAACCTCCAAATGCATTTTAACATTTGTTTGTGGTGTAAACATGGTGATTGGAGCCCTCTCCTTGAAAACGGGCACAACTCAAGACAACGCTTCAAAACAAGATAAAAACGTCTGTGGTTGTTACTACTTACTAGACAACGACTTCATCAAAATGATAAACTGTGGATTAAAAAGAACTCACCTCTGATCTTTACAACACTGAGGAGACACATCAGAAAGATGATCAGACTGCGACAGGCTGCCTTCGCGGTCATTGTGTAATTTACTCTCCCAACTTTTCAAGCTCAATGACGCAGCAACAGGGTCAGTGATGTTGTCTGGTCTCCTAGGAAAACGAACAAAGCAGCGAGTTGTTTGGGGAGCTAACGATATTTGAGTTAGCCATAACTGGCTTCTCTGACATGGACGTCTAGCTAACACTCAAAAACTCAACAATTAAAATGAATTTTAAAGCGTTAGGTTACCTAGCTAGTACGGCTATTATGGGTGGAAACAACTCTTGTGGTTATGATATAACAGTTTTAACTCTCCAACTCTCTAATAGAAAAGAAAAATATAGCTAACGCTAGCAAACCAACGAACTAGTTAAAGCTCAACAACACATTTCCATTAATAAACCACGGCAACGCCTACCTGGCTAACGTTAGCTCACCTTGACCGCGCTAGCACCATATGGGTTAAAAAGCATTACATCTAAATACTTTACCTACGTTTATCTACATTCGCATAAACTGGACAATACACTGAAGTTTGTTCTGCTGTATAATTATTTAGGAGCTGTTCTGGACAAACAAACTTCAAGAGCCTCACTAGCTAACGTGGCTAGCTAACGCTAGCTAAGTTACTGGCCAAAGCGGCGAGATTCTGGTTGGGTCACCTTCTCGCTCACGTAGCGCCGTCTCACTCACCTAAGCTAGGTAAAGCCAAAAATCCAAATAGGAAGTTTTAAGTCCTGAGGTTTCTCTACCCTGTCAGCTTATACGGTCCCAGTGGTTCTACGGAAGCAGTTTACAGTCTGCAAGCTCTTTAGAAAGCCAGGAAATGTTGTCACTGCTACGAGGAAATAGGCAACACGCCCGCCTCAGTGAGTCAGCGCTCTGTGGGAAGCCGTCGTAGCCAAAGCGTGTAGAAATGTCCGTGAAACAGATTTGTGGACGTGTTGGCTCTTTGAGCCAGCTCCTGTAGAGAAACGTGAGCCGACTCACATTGACAAGCTGATTTTTCAGGTTTTCTTAATTTATTTATTTTTTGTAAAGACAAACAAATGGGTAGATCTAATCATGCTGTATCTCCTTGGAACATTCCTGCTCACCCCTTCGTAATCCCTAACACCTGCTGCTTGTTGTGTTAGTTTGGCTCAGGTTTTGTTTTGGCAGTTTTCATGTAATTCTTTATTTACTTGTTAGTTGATAACTGGTGGATGTATTTGCGTGCATTTTGCCTGTGTGCCTATTCCTTGAAACTAATCAACATCTAACTGAACTCCAGCAGTCATTGGGAGTTAATTATTTTTTCTGTTTTTTAGAAAGTAGACTAAGATTTTTATTGAAAATTAAATGATAAATAATATTGGTGTCTCCATATTAGTGCTCATACAGGTGTGATGGCCAGGCCTCCACATACTTTTGGCCATATAGTGTAGTATGATTCCTGAGAAATTACTGAGAGCGCTCATGTAAACAGAAGCCATATCCTGTCCAAGTGTATTTTGTACGGGATTTTATCATATTATATCAATATTCTATCATATCATGTCAATATTCTATCATATTGCTTGAAGAAAAGAAAAATGTTTCGGTGAAAAGTTTCATTGTGGCATTTTCATTTTAGGATGGTGGTTAACAACTTTCTGTGTCAACCAAGGCTTATATACCTGTGTGTGTGCACATAATAGTTATGACTGACAGCCAGTTTTGTGAAAGATGGATGGAAGTCAAGCAGCGGAGAAATAAAAAATCCTACCACATAAACATGAACAAAGTGAAGCAATTAAAAGGGCTAAAGGCAAACACTGTTGTCACCACAAGTGCTGGGGGTTATGCAGTACAAAGTAGCAAGTTACATTAATTACTTTTGTCCTGTAGCAAATTAGTGTAATGGATTACAGCTTCAAACTTCGTATGAATTTCTTTATTTGCATTATTCATATGTCTCTAACAGAGCATTCGTAATTATGTGTGATGAATTTAAAACCTGCACTTCCTCTATATACACATGTTTACTAAATTAGTTCAGAGTTGAAAACACATTTTAGGATCGAACAGCTCACCATGAGGGATGCAGTCTCACTTCCTGCTCTGAAATATGGGGGTATGGCTAGTATAAGGCTCCATTTATAGACTAAAACTCTGCGTTTTGTTACTGACATGAAAACATGGGACAGCAATTTTTAAATAACTTTTTTAATTTTAGAGGTAAGGTTTGGGACAGCCACCTCAGATTAGAAAGTACCCTATAAATAATTATTTTAAATATTTTGACTTCTTTACTATTTCAATAATGCCTTGGGTTTAAATAGACCATAACATAAACAATGGAAATATAAAAAGTGTACTCAATTGTTTTATTTATTTATTTTTTTTTTACTGTAGGATGTAGTTTGAACTAATACAGTAGAATGGTCCATGTCATCCATGCCTGTCCTTGTACCTGCGCTAGCTGACCACACAACTTGCTTGTGACAACATGCATAGATAAGATAAGATAAGATAAGATAAGATAATCCTTTATTAGTCCCACAACGGGGAAATTCTCAAAGTGTCTACTTACGTAGAAATGTGAACATGGACATTTCTTTTTGAGTCTTTGGTGCTGATGGCTTGCAATAGTACACTGACGTTTGTGGGCTAAAAAGTCTGAGCCATTAATTTCAGTGTTTTTTGACATTTTTGAATGTAAAATGTGATACATATGATGGTATGTAAGGAACGTGATTTGAGAGTCTGTCCGTCTGTGAAGATGTTGAGTGTATATGATAACAATCCTTACACAGTGTTATGAGGTTTTTTTTAGCTCAATTTACCGGACTACGTCCTTCCTTCTGAACTTCCTAGGAAAGCAGCTGAGGACGTAAGTTCATTCAAATGGGATTACGTGCTTTTTGAGCCTTAGCCAAGTTCTCTGACTGCACCCTTATCCACTCCCTGGATAACTGATCTGGAGGAAGGGAGCGGCACTGTAGCTGTTTGATGTGAGCAGTATCACAATTGTCGATTCATGCACGAGTTTCTATGAAAAGGACATTACGTTTCATGTTTCTGGTATGGAGATCACTAACCTGGAAGTGCAGGTCTCACTTCTAATAACTGAAACAGCTGTGGCATGGCAACATAAATGTATTAATCATGAAAAAGCTGGCACATTAAGCAACGCTTTACTGCTAGCACCAGTGATTAATTTATAACTCACTCAACCTGGGAGGTGCAATTGGAAACAACATCCACTTTCATCCATTGTGTCAGACGCAAAACAATTGCTCTGTTTTAGAGAAATTTACCAAGAATTATTCACAGTGGTGGTGAAAGGAACCATCAACCTCTACAATCTTCCTTACATTATCATATGAAAAGGTTATAAATTGTCTGCCTGACTCTGAACCACTCTGACTTTCTGAATCAATGAATCATGCAGAAATTTTGAAAAAATGAAATTGAAATGAAATAAAACTCTTAAATGGATACAATTTGAATTCTTTAAAGTGGAATTCCATTGATTTTTCAAAATGTCTGCATGATGAAATGGTTTGGTGTGACTTTGACCCTGTAATAGCACCCTCACAGGAAGTTGAATGGTTATGAAGTTATGAATTATACGTTTTAAGAAAGTTTTAAGATCTATCTATCTATCTATCTATCTATATGTGGGTGGTGGATCATTCTCAGTACTACAGTGACGCTGATGTGGTGGCATGTTAATGTGTGTTGTGCTGATACGAGTGGATCAGACACAGCAGTGCTGGAGGAGTTTTTAAACACTGTGTCCCTCACTGTCCACTCTATTAGAAACTCCTAACTTGTTGGTCGACCTTGATGTAAAGTCAGATGATGATAGCTCACCTGCTGCTGCACATTTTGTGTTGGTCATCCTGTAGTTCTTCATCAGTGGTCACAGGATGCTGCACACAGGATGCTGCACACAGGACGCTGTCTGCTGTGTTTGGTTTTTTGGTTGGTGGACTATTCTGAGTCCAGCAGTGACACTGAGGTGTTTGAAAACTTCAGCAGTGCTGTGAATGATCCACCACCCAAATAATACCTGCTCTGTGAGGGTCCTGACCATTAAAGAACAGAGTAAAAGGGGGCTAACAAGGTATACAGAGAAACAGATGGACTACAGTCTGTAATTGTAGAACCATAAAGTTCTTCTGTGAAGAGTGTAGAAACAAGGAGTATAACAATATATATATATATATATATATATATATATATATATATATATACACACATATATATATATATATAAATTATGTCAAAAATATATCTTTTTAGATTCACCACTTTTTTACCATCAAAATTACATATAAAAGCTCAGGAGGCACGTGTAGGTTTGCTGCTAGTTTTGGATAGTAAATAAAATGACCCCGGGTTCCCATCACCACCACTGAAAAGAAATCTGAGTAGGTAGGTTTCTCCATAATGATGCATTTCACATCTAGCTACTACATCTCATCAACTGACAATTTGAAAAATCAGAATTTCTCTTTAAGAGAGTAAACGAGTAATAATAACTTAAACAATAAACTAGGCTCTCATCCATTATTTCACTGAGTAACTGCCTTTGTAAAGGACATTGGATGTGTTTGGGACCACCAATGGGTAATTTATCAGAACTAGCCTAAAAGTGACGCCCATTAATGATTTCTGTAATGTGATATACCCCAAAAACTGAACACCACAGATAAGAATTTAACAGGAAGATGTTAAATTTAAGAGAAAAAGGAGCTTTTCAGATTTATAGAAACAAAAAAAATGAAAACAAATAACAAAATTGATGACTAGCAATGATAAAAAACATCTCAACAAGTCAACAGATTTGCCTAAGCAAACCTTCATTTGTAAAGTCTAAACTAGGACAAAGGTATTCAAATTAGGACCAGAAGGAAATCCGCAGACTAGAACTAGCTAAAAGAGCCAAGTGAGCAAGAATTTGTTTGAGAGAGAGAGAGAGAGAGAGAGAGAGAGAGAGAGAGAGAGTGAGAGAGAGAGAGCTTTCCTGACCAAGTACAGATGTGGACAAAGCAGTTAAACCTTTATGCAAATGACATGTAAATTAGACAGACTATGCTGACAACCATTGATTCCTTGCTATTATTTTTTGAGGTCCGCCATCTTTCTCACTGATGTACTGTCAAATTAGAGACTAACTAATAACTATGACCACCACCACTGTATAAATTCCATACATTTATAACTGGCTAATTACTCCATTGTTGATGACTAGATGCTCATTTGGGGTTCTAATAAGTCACAAAATAAAATTACAGATAAACTTTCTACATATTTATGTACTATCATTTCTTTTTCCTTCTTTGGTGACACCTCCTCATGTTACCGAAACACATGTTCCTCATAAACATCACACTTTCATGTGCGGATTAATTACCACCTGAGTATCTAAACCTGGATTAACAGTGAAAGTCTTTAACCGCTGTTGTTAAAGGAGTTAAGCACAGCTGTTAGATTTTTTGTGAAACTGAAACTCTGTCAGAAAGTCTGTCTACGTTGAACCTGCTCTGTAAGACAGACCCCAGATTTGCTGTTTCTTGTTGTCCAGCTACAAGCCAAAATGATTTTAAGTTAACACCACAAGTCCTTAGGGGGCCCCAAGCAGCTGCTTATGTCGCTTATTAGGTAAAGCTGACACTGCATCCACATCTCTCATACGCAGGGACAGACTGGCCATCAGGAGAATTCCTGTGTGTGGGCCACTTAGACACTGAGAAAGAGAAAAACAAAAACGTTTCTAATGTAGTCCTATATAAAATGAATGGTTACCGCCTGAGACAAACGACATGTGCCAGGCAAATACTTGAGACCAGTTAGTGATCCACTTCATTCTCAGTGTGTGGCCACTGACCAAT